GCTGAAAGAGCAAGATGCTTATTGCAGGCTACAGTAGAACTCCACATAGATATTCCTGATGGTCGTGTCTGTTTGTCTCTGACTGAATAAGCCACAGGGATCAAACACATAAGATTAGGGGATTAACAACACACATTGTTTAGACAGATGTGTGCCTAGGAAAAAATCTGTTCCTCATCCCCCTAAGATTTGTTGTATACATTACTTGTTGATGTATTGGAGTACCTAATTGTGGCATTTTATGATGTGTTTGAACGGATTAATTAGTGTTCTTTAATGACGCTGTGGGAATTTGGGATGTGATTAATTATTACCTTACAGGTGCAATATGATTCGGGAAGTTGAATTTGTCAGGTTTGTATTCCAATATTTAACACATTTGATTTTCTCTACAATTTTTCTTATCCCAGATTTTAGATTCTGAAGAAAAAAAATGTTATTGTATATTAAGTGTCTTGATTGAAGTAACATTTTCCTGCAACATTTCAATTATTGAGTTGATATTTTCCTCAAGATTTCAGTCAAAAGCATTATTACTTGTTCTATGGGAAACAAAATCAGCTTCTGAAATAACGGGAGATTGTGGATTAATTCCTTCGCAATGATGATTTTATCAGAACTGAAGGAATTTTGATAGGTTGCTATCTGATAATGCCTTAATTCAAAAAAGGCTTCTGCCAACTCCAAAAAGAAACTTGGCAGACAAATGTGTTTCCTGATTTCACTTTTAACATTTTAATGAATAATTTACTGAAACTTTTCCTCAGAAGTAAACATACCATGAATAAGTTGATGACATTGATGAAAACCATTCTTTGGAATCTTTCAACACAATTACCTGATGTCGTTAGAGTTAAGTGAAGAAAAATTAGGTGGATATTTTTGGATTTGTTTATAGAAAAAATGTTTATGTTACTAAGTATCATACAAATTTGATATGTAAAAAATGATGCATTATCTCTTATTTGTCTGTCTTTAGAATTGCATTTTTTCAGTAATGAAAACATAAGAAAAAATCCAGAAAAGAGAAAGAAATGAATTCATATTGTGTTATTGAATAAGGTAAATTATTTTAGTCTTCAAAATTTGAGATTGAAAAAGAAGAATAGCATAGGATGTTACCTAAATCTCACTGGATTTTAAAATAAATGTCATTATTTATGGTAAAGCAAACACACAATAAACAAAGTTGTGCAAAATAAAAAAAAATATAAAAGATGGATTTTAAAGAAATCGCATGATACACAGAAAGACCGTTACAAATATGGATAAAGTTATTGAACTAGGACAAAGGCCAGGAAGTTCTTGGCTATTCAGCATTGACACAGGCTCAAAACTGTAATTATCAACTTCCGACCCCTCTCCAACTTCTCAAATAATTGATAGATTGTAATAGAAGAAATATTAATTAAATACAGAATATTATTAAAAAAAGAGAGAACAGTTTTGACATATTGATCATCCTAGGATAAAGTGTGCAGATTCTAAATGTAGGGAATACATGGTTTGTAGCACAAACTCTACTAAAAAGTTTTTTATCATTATCTTAACGCAATAATCATGCAACTTATACACAATGATTTTGACCTGGATTTCATGAAATGTTAGATGCATGCATTGTAAGTAGAATTATGTAGTGGAAATTCAGTTTCAAAAACTAGGATTTATTGAGATGACCTTCATAGAAAAGCATGAAAAAGATGCTTGTGCCATATAGTAGTGAGAAATACTGGGGCACTGTTATTTTTGTATGTTGTTAATTGTTACTTGTGTCTGTAAATAATTAAGACTGGTCCCATGAGACCTCTCAAATGTGTATATGGAGATTAGGGAAATATGCTAGCTATGGTGCAGAACATGTACCTACTGCTGAGAGAATTCCCAAACATCGAAAAAATTCGGGAACTATATGGTTAGTTAAAGTTATCGCAAATTGTCATGTTCATTTGCAAAATATTTCAGCAGTTGCTTCGATAAGAGACCAAGTATTAAAACTTGATTGTAAAACATTTTTTTTTGTTGGAAGATCCTTTACTGCATATTGGTTGTGTCAAAGTATTGCAAGTGCAGTGTTATTTATGCCATGGCTTTTCTTTAAAATACAAGTCAGTGTTATGATTAAATAGTTTTAAAGTCTGTTGATGTTTGATACCACACATTTCCAGTTAAAGAGCCACCAGAAAGGACAGGAAAGAACTTCTTAGTACAAAATTGTTTTTTCTGTCCATGAGGGGGATTAAAGAATAGCTTATTATACTGGTCAATGGGTGCTACCTTTTTGGACAGCTAATATCAGTCCAGGTGCATGGTTCTACCTTTTAAGACAATGAGCCCACCCAGCAGATGGCAGGGTCATCTTTGTGTGTTGAAATTTTCTCTGAAGATTCACTGAAGAAAGAAAAAATCTGTGAAGAGAAAAAAAAATCCAGGGAGCACGTGCTTGCCTTGTGTCGTAGGACAATATCAGATTCCTGATCTGGTGACATTTCATTAAAGAGGTCCCGGTGAGCACCTGCCATTTTTTGTTTGGACGGAGCAGTTGAGATTGGATGTTGTTTAAACACTTGTTTGATTTGTGTCTGTTTGGCTGTGTTTATGGGTGTTAAGATTTTACCTATGTCTACAGTAAACTCTACACTGTAATCCTACATGCTTGATCGGGTATTGTTTGAGAGAAAAGCTCTGTCAATGATTTAAATTTTACTTTGGTTAAACGGATGCACCCAGTACACGGATTGAGAAGCATTAAGATTGACTGAGGCAGCTATGAATTTGACTTGCAGTTTTTGGATGTATTTTTGTGGTCAGGATAAAAGCGTATTTTGTATGGTGTAAAGAAAATAACAAAAAGTTCTAAAGAGGTTATTAAAAGGCGGCACAAAGAAGACAAAATACCTGGATTATTATTTTACCTACACACTATTTAAAGTGCAAGGCTGCATGTGTCATTGAATGCCACAACAGATCTCCAATGTTCACCAAGAGTCCGACATGCGTTCTCATTTGTCATTCAGTTTTTCCACTTGACTGGAGTCATATCTACGTATTTTGTGTGTATTTATATATCAGTGAACTTTATGTGCAGCTTTGTGACACTTTTCCATTAACCAGCTTTTGTCATTAATTAGGGAGGCTTGTTGCTAGTCCTAGTGTATCAATAGGGTGATTACAGCCGGTTCAAATTTCAGTGATGAACTAGCAGTACCTTGTACAAAGAGGGTGTAATTGCACAAACTTGGATACATAATGTATACAGTCTGGACATGCCTTTATTTACTTGGGAGTTGCTGATTGGGCTAAATTGGTGAATTGACCAAGAGTAAGAGAACAATTGCTCTGCAGCAATGTGATTTCTCTGTTGTCCCAGGAGTGAAATTGTTGAAGAAATCATCATGTTTTTCTACATTGTTGGCAATGCCAATGTATCAGGTAATGATAAGAACCATGAGATAGATGAACAGCAATCGAGACCTGTCCAGAAGCAGCTGCCGTCTGTTAAAAGTCAACACTCTCCTCAAAAATGTTGTTTACCCAAGCCAGAGTTGCCGAACCTGATGTGCAGTGGCCAAGAAAACCATGCATCACAATCACTGGGAATTCCACAAACTCCGGATGCTGGCAGCTCAAGTGAAGTTGAAGAAGTTGAGGAATTGGACTTCCCTCAGTGGCAGGGCGTAGATGTTTGCTGCGGGGAGCAGTGTTCCCCTGAGTCTGATCTTGACAGAATGGATTACTTGTGTGAACATAGGACTAGTGCTTCAGAAAAATTAAAATCTTGTTGTTGTTTGTTAAAAAGTTTATCTAGTGATGCCAATGGAGCTGAAAATTTATGTGTTCAAAAAATGTATGAATCATCGTCTGGTAAACCAGTACGATATGCAACACGTGTGCATGCGGAATATGCCCCAAACAAAGTGAGACCAAAAAGTATGTGTTCTGTAGAACTAAGTCGTGAGACGAGACCTCCTCGAGTTGGACCTGACATCAGGCTAGAGAATGATGAGGGAGTCTGGCCCCTCTCAGACTCCACTGTTAACTTTGACAGGTATAGTGAGGCAGTAATATTTTGTGGATTTCATGTGGAACCTGTAGGGTAGTTCAATAGAAATCTGTAGACTTGTTTAACAAGTTTAATTGACAAATTTTATTCTTAGTCTGTCCTTTGCTATCTATATATAGATTACTTTAATGGAAGCTTTTTAATGCTTTGATCAGTTGTTGATGTATACTGACAAACACTGAAGTGATGTCCAAATGACTGCTTTATTTACTCATCTTATTATCAAATGCTCTGAGTCCCTTAGTCATTTTATAGTTCTTTGTCCCCTGCCCAGTGCATTATACCTATGTCAAATAAACCTTTTAATGATGTTGACAGGGGACATGGTGCTCTAATTTAAATGGAAATAGTTTAATAATGTTCTTAATGAAATGTCTGAAGATCCCTGACATAGGGCCAAGTTCTGTATACGTCTGATCAACAGATCAGTCAATTCGTCATCGGTGATCTTCGATAGCCACAAATTTACGTATTCATTGCACATTATCATGTTCTTGCGTATTTTTTGTGTGTTTTTATACAGTGACAAATGATAGCCTTTGTTCACTGTGAAGCTCCAAATATATCATGAACATGTACATGGTTTTTTTGCAGTAGTTTCTAGTCAATAGCTTCTAATGGTTATAAAAAATAAAAATGTATTTTCGACTGCAAGAGAGGTAATATATTAACAATTATAGAGTCATTTGACTTTCATTTACATGAATATATACATATAATATATTTCTGAATTTTGTATCAGCTAGAAAAATTTATAGAGAACTTTAGATGAATTTAGACTTAATGACCCACATTTTCGCATATTTTATCATCTTTTTATGGTTAGTCTTCCATATTCAGGTTGACAATACCTGTAATATTATAGCATTGAGGTTTGTTAGACTGTGAAATATGATACATGTACCGATAATTTCACAATTGCTGTCATTTCTACTTTCAGTTTTGGCAAGAGAACTCCGGGATGTACCCGTCGTGCCAGCGAGTGTCTCATTCTGGAGCCGTCAGAGATGATCGTTGTACGTATATCTATAGGGAAACTATTTAAAACATTTTAATGATCGAAACAAGTTAGAAAAAATGTAATGAAAATTTTCATTTATAACATTGTTGAAATTAGTGTTGTATACTCACTATATATACAATGCATTTTGGTGTATATATATAATAGTGTGTTCAGTTAATGGAAACTTCTACAAATAAATTCTACTGTCAGAACTATATTATGAAATTTTAACAAGTGGGCAATAGATCGCATTTTTATTGCCCTCTTACTTTGATGGTATGTAGAGTCAAGGAGTGATAGACATATATTGTACCCTCTATATGTAGGGAGGCTGACTATTACATCATTGCTGGCACGTTTCATAGAGTTTATCACAGTTTTCGTGATTCTTTGTCATACAACATTGTATTCTACACCAGCTTATTGCATTAAAACATTTTTGTTATTTTTGCTGGAGAAAAAAAATTCCTGAGACTAAATGATTAAGCCATGTTCCGCCTTATTCTCTGCATCATTAGAAGTGGAATATTCACTGCCAACGTTGTTTGTAACTGTGATTATTCAAATTAACATTCCGGTGAAGTGGAAAAAAAAGGAATTTGAACTTATTAACTTTCTTCTGATCGGTTGCCTTTTTTGATGTGTTTTATTATGACAGGGTATTAAAACAATTTATCCTCACAAAATTTGTTGATGAAGATGCCAATAGTATTGATTTTTTTCCCCTGGTGGCAGCAATAATATTTCTTTCTGATCATTGTTAGAAATGGCCACTCTAAGTCACTTTATTGACATGGTCATTATAAGATATGGATGAGGGTTATTACAAGTAATCAAGATTAAATGGCCAAGGAAAGTTTGTGAAAATTTCAATACAATATAAAATGAAAAATTAACATACATATACATACAAAACTGTGACTGTGACCAAAAGGATTTGTAGCTTTCTGAGGAGAAAAATGGGAAGGGGGGGGGGGTAAGTTGTAAATAAAAGAATAACCTGCATTACACATTATAATGAGCTGCATTCACACTCAGTACTTGAGAAAGAAATCCAGGAAAGTTGAAATTGTCAGCAGTATAGTGGAGACATTGCTCCCTGCTGTAAGTCTGTTTATCTAGTCTATCCTTACAACTGACAATTTCCTGATATGAGTTACACACATGAACGGATGTATCCCACTAAACTCTGAAGTACTTGAGTAATTATTTTGTTATTTGTTTAATGTTCATATTTGTTTCAAGCTTCAGAGTTTGTTAGAAATTGTTATGTTGGATTTTTAGTGAGTGATTACATTCTTTGCTGGAAATACTAATGTGTAAGTTTTACTTTCGTCAACAAGGAACTCTTAAAGGGTGTGAATTTTCACAAGTACAGGATTAAGGTAGATCATGATAGATGGATTTCTTCTTATTAAGTCAAAAATTAATTTTTCTTCCATACATGTTGTTTTTGTCAAGTAGTCTCATTCATTTTGTACCTTTCTTTGGGTTTGCCTCATCATTTCCCCTATATCTATAATAACAGCTATAGGTAAATGTATTATCCACAGTTTTGTAAAAAAGGATATGGATGTTATAGTGTGATTGTGTGTGGTGATATTAATTCAAAACTGCAGTACTTGCTGAAGTGAACATACCTACCTTCTCTGAGACAAGTCGAGACGTCAGTGTCCAGTTATTTCTCAGGTGGTATTGGAATTAATTTTGAACTGGGAATTTTTTACGTAATTCAGACACGAACATGGGAAAGCCATTGCTGAGTCAATTTCCTCTCGAACATTTCTCTCATTGTTAATCTCCAAAGGACAGAGAGAGAGAGTGTGACTATCGTGATGTAGATAAAAGATGGAGTCTACTTTGTGTTCATTGTGAATGGATATGCTCTTCTTGGAAAAAAATTAGTAATTTCAAAAAGTGATAAAAATTGTTGTGGAAACTGTGTGATAAATGTGTACCTCTGTTTTTGTAGATCGATTATCCTGATGTCCAGATTATGAAAAACAGCCGTAGTGGACAATGTAACAATGTCAACTTCAATCGTATGTTTGATTTAGAACAAGAAGAAGCCAAATTACGAAAAATGCACTGTGATACAGCAGTGGAACAGGTAAAAGTACGATAAACCACACATAAAAATATTAAGTCAACTCAGCAGTCATGTAGACAGAGTTTATTATTGCACTTTATATCTAAAAGTTAGCTTAGTCCTCAAGTGCTGCATGAGATTGAATGATCGTTCTACTCTGTGAATGTTTTTTTATGAAGGAATGTACATGCTGTTAATGCAATGATTATTACCAGCAGAGAAAATTGGAAACTTGGGATTTTCTGCTGTGTTAATTATTTGTAGATTGAGAAAATAAATCTGTAAGAATTTGTGAAAGAAAAATGTCTAACTATATAGAGTGAGACATGGAAATAAACATTGATAGAACATAGTCAATCACATTGGAAAAGGAAGTAAAGGGTAACTCAATACTTCATGTTTCTATTAATATCTCCAGTTTGAAAGAAGGAACATTTTATATAGAGCATTTGAATCAAAGCCAACAATAATTTTTAAATTGAGCACGGAAGACCTGTGTAATCTCTGAAATATTCCAAGCCAGTTTGTTTTCTTATTGGAGAAGCATATGTTGTTGCGCTCCATTCCATGCACAAATCTTGCACTTACTTATTACTCTGTTACACCCCAAATCAGTGCTAGTTTGATTTTATAGAGAAAAATAATTTCCACAATCAGCAAGTCTTGCACTTACTTATTACTCAATTACACCCCAAATCAGTGTTAGTTTGATTTTATAGAGAAAAATAATTTCCACAATTAGCAAGGTTACACAAATGAACATTTAAAAGATAAAAGCGGTGATAAATTTAAGTTTGCATGTACCACAAAATTAAATCAAGAAAATTTATTTATAAAGAAGGTACAAGTCTCCAATTTGTTCTGTAGTATTGTTGTATAAAGTTAAGTGAGGTCTTCTCAGTAGTACTCTGATTAATAATTTTTTTGGTGATTTAGACTGCATACCATCAATCTTTAATAACATCTTACAACTTTCCTTGCAGCTACCACCAGAATTCAAAAATGAAATGGTATACTCACGCAATGAAATACAAATAAAAAGGAGTTCGCGAGCGAGTGATACTTCCAGTGCGTATTCGGGGTCGGACATGATGCAGTCCTCCATTGATGACCAGGAGAATCCGGATATGGACCTGACGGGAATGCCGGAGGGTTACGTGGACTCCGATGACGATGAAGACAAATTGTCAAACACTGAGGTATACAATTATTGTAAACATTGGTAGGGGCACGATATACAAAAGTTACTAAGGTAAACAAAAGCAGACTACAGATTAAAAGCAGTTTTTTACAACACATGGAGAGAGTTGGGGTTATTTTTGAACACCATTATAGTAGGAGGTGTATTTATAATGTTGAACATCAGGCCATTAGACAGATGGCATGAGGCATTAACAGAGAGTAAATGTTGGAGATTTAGAGGATATAAGCATTCAATTTTATTATCTTTTTAAGATCAAAAGACAGTTTCAGTTGGATATAACATTACATACTTTACTTAAAAAAAACACATCATTTTGTCAGTAATCTCATCCAGGAAATCAAGTCAGAATTTATTGATGGAGAGCAACTATATATTAATACAGGGTGATAGGTTATATCATTATCTCTTGTTAAGTTTAAACACTCTTGACATAATGTACGTGTCATATAGTAGCTTTGTCACCTCATGACAAATTTAAAACAGAAAAACTAGTGATTAGAGTAGTGAAAATGATTCTGGGAAGTTTCTACAATAGTGCAAAGTTTAATTTCCATAAATTACAGGAAAGTGGGCCTCAATTCAATGAAGTCTCTCTCCAGGAAACCTACACTTGTTACATAGTATACTTTTCTGCATCATTTTATGATGCATACTAATGGTTTTATCTGATTTGCCTTGTGCATTATAAACTATTGAAGTACTTGAAGTATGCTTTAAAAAAGCATGAGATGACAAATAGATGCAGTTTAATATAAGCCTGTATGAGCAATATAATTTTTTTTTGCATCCACCCACCTGATTTGTAACTTTTTCTAAGTAGTTGTAAGACATAGTATCAACTTCCTTCTAAAAGGTTAAGGAACAAAATTGAGTCCATATGTAAAAACTATTAGATACTTAAGCCCTAAATCTGAATTTATCATTTGCAATATTTATTACTTGTAATTTTCAAGCAATTTAGCAGAAACTGTAGTATCAATAAATTACATGATTACTCTTAACAAATAATTCAAAAGTAGAAAAAGGCAACATTTTCACACTTAATATATTTCACAAGTGATTATTGAATGGTAAAAGGCAAAGTTATCAAATGCATACAAGCATATAGTCTGACCAAGATGATCATTTCCAAAAGGGGCACAGAAGTGTTTTTGAATGATTGATTATTGATGGATTCAATTTAAAGGAGTTTATGATTGTTTGATTATTGATGATTTCAGTCTATACGAGATTCTGTACAAGAGTGTCTACAGAAAGAGCCCAAAGACAGGACAGAGGATGACATCGAGATTCTCCTGGAGTTTATACAGCATTTTAGGGTAAGGTTTTTGTGGAGATTCTAGTCTTGGAAAACTTAATAGAGAAAGCCAAAGAAACAAAACTGAGAAAGTATGAAATACGTATAATCTAGATGTATTTAATGGAATGGGACTGTTTCTTACAGGCGTTTGCCAACTTGACACAACCTATCCGGCGTGAGTTGTGCGCGGTTATGGTGTTTGCGGTGATTGAGAAGCGGGGGACAGTTGTGATGAGGGATGGTGAGGAGCTGGACTCCTGGTCAGTCATACTGAACGGTCAAGTGGAAATAATCCACTCAGATGGCTCCGCTGAATTCCTACAGATGGGAGACAGGTGAGATGTCAAAGGTCAAATGTCAGAAATTAGATGTCAAAGGTTAATCCAATATATTTTTGTAGAATCCATTGTCAGTGATTTGTTCAACTGAGCAGAAGATGTATGCTAGAAAGTTTCTATTCCTTTGGCCCAATTTAGCTCTTTCTTCACCTGACACACTGATACACAATGCCAAAGTTTAGGTCATTTCAAGGATACACTGTGTAATTGTAAAGATTCAGAATGTCCTTCAGTTAAAAGTGTGTAGTGACCTTGATTTACTAGATGTCGGTAAAAGATGAGGATGAAAACGAAATTATGTGGTGATAACTTGTTTCTTTTTGTCCAATGTGTCTAAAGATTCAGATATTTTAATAAATGTGAATCTGAAATCTTGATGTTTATATTATTTCTCAGCTTTGGGATTTCCCCAACCCTGGACAAGATGTATCACAAGGGAGAGATGCGGACATTGTTAGATGACTGTCAGTTTGTCTGTATAGCTCAAGATGATTACCACAGGATCCTAGACAAGGTGAGCTCTGTCTCCACTAGCATCCAGTTTGTAGTTTAAGCACCTTGTTAGAATTGAGAAATGTGAATGTAATTGATATTTATTTAACAGGGCAAAGAGAACACAGAGAAACATGTAGAAGAAGGGCAGGTTGTAATGGTGACAGAACATAGGATATTTGATGGAGGAAACCGAAAAGGACAAATCGTCATCAGGGTAAGTGAAAAGAAAACTGAAATCTTACTGTTGTAGTTAGATTAAAGGCAAGACTGTGGGAATACATTATATTAACAGGCATTGTGTTTCTGTCATACAAAGTGGAAACTCTGATTGTGATTTATGCTTTCTAATGGACTCATTTTGGTATATTTGAAGTTGATTACATATTCAGTATTTCATAACCAAATAAAATAAACATTGTTTACCAAGATGTTTATATAATCTCAATGACAAAGCTTTTTCTGTTTCATTGTGTAAATTTAGGGCATGTTCTTTACTTTTACATGCAATGTACTCAGAATATCTAGATCAAAATATTAGTTACTGTTCACTTATAATAGATAAAACACAATACCTACATGTATTTAAAAATCATAGTTAACTTTCATTTAAGACACTGTCATTTTAAAAGTTAATCAGTACATTTTATATGATGAGTATTCTTTAGATGTTTTGTGTTGAATCATTATAGGGCACACCTGACCATCTAACACAACATTTAGTACAGGAGCACTCGGCGGTTGATCCTTCCTATGTAGAGGATTTCCTCCTTTGCTTTCGTGTCTTTATAAAAGATCATATGGACTTGGCAAACAAATTACAGCACTGGTTTGAGACACCAAGTTACAGGAATAAGGTCAGTAATAGGTGAAATACCCGCAATTTCAGTATTGTTACATCACTAAAATCTTGATTGACTCCATTGATTCCATGATGTATTGTTCTATAAGAGAGATAAAATGTAAATTCATTTTGTGCTCGAGACTTGATATACATTCATTCTATTATTCAAATGGTCAAATAGTGTGATATTCTGATCTACTAAAAAGAAGGAAAAAGGATAAAACATCAATATTTAAGCCACACAGTGACACGTTTTAATCTGAATGAAAAAAAAATAAACAGTGTATTGGAGTAAAATGTGTATACTGTGTTATTTGCCATGACTTGTAATGTGTTGGTCTGTGTTCTGTAGGTGACGCGGGTAGTCCTACTGTGGGTCAATAATCACTTTGTGGACTTTGAGACAGATGCCCCTCTCTGTGAGTTCCTGGAGAACTTTGAAGGCCTTCTGGAACGAGAAGTGAGTAACATCCAGAGCACCTGCTATATGTAGTGGGGCATCAGCTCTTTACGCCTATTTATAGATTCTAGTTTATTGATGAAATTCTAAAGATTTCTTTAAAGTTAGATGGTAGCTTTTACTCAAGTTATTTGTTGTAGCTCAGCATTGAAACAAGTAGAAAGAGTAAAGCGGTGTGTATAGGCCTGAATTGATCTTTTTCATTCTCCTTGTTCAATGCATGATGTTTTGTTTCTGTAAATTTCTCTTTTTTTCCAGTGTGGTTATAATTACATGTACATGTGAACAAAAAAAATATTATACTGGTTAACACTGAGAGAGGCTGAAACAAGTTCTTTATCTCAGTGACTGTAATATAAAATTACATACGGTTCTATTGCTTTAAATTTGCTTTCAATAATAAACACATTTTCTAGCTTATTAAAACCACGGTAAGATGATAAAATTCAATCATTTCTGCATTATTATAACCAGCAAAAAAAAAAAAAAAATATTTAAGCTTTGTTGGAGATAATTTTTTTTGAAAAGCATTCTTTTTATGGATTTTGGAAAAATTATAATAAATCTGAATATGTGGAATTTCAACTGTTTCAGCTCTGTCGCCATTTTCTTGCATTGTACGAGAGAAAAAATTCTCTGCAGGTGTTTATGCACTTCACATCTTTTCAGAAAAGATGATAGTAGTGTATGAGCACACAGCATTTTCTGATTATAGAAGATAAGATCTCTATGAAGCATTATATTCTAAAACAACTGTTACATTACTGCTCATAAAAGCACTTGATATTAATCAGATTCCAACAACAAAAATGCATGCATGATGTATCTTGTACAAAAATATGCTAGTGTCAGATATACTTCTACATTCATTGTAAGAAAAATATTATACTGCACCAACATCTGTCAGAAATGTTCAAGTTTTTTGTTCAGATAGTCAGTAGGAAAACAAGAACTAGTTATGATTGCATTTTGAAACAAAGAATATTTGTTTTTTATTGTTACTGACTTTTAATCAACAGTTTCTAACCATATCTAAATATTGATACATTAGTGTTTAATTATGCTTTTGGTTATTAGAGACATTTACTGGTTTTATAAAATATGGTGGAGTTTCTTGTATAAACAAAAGTAAAGCACAGACAACATCATTTGTCATAGCATCATCATCACCTGTTAAAAACCAACTGTATGCTGGGTCATTCAGAATCATTTAATATCATGGACTGAATCGGAATGATGAAATCATGGCATGAGTTATCTGTGCTTTGTTGTTTCTCTTCTAAGATTGTTCACTTAACCCTTTCTGTATCCACTAACAGGAAATGTTTGGTCAGCTGCGGCTATTGAACATAGCTTGTGCTGCCAAAGCCCGGTCCAGAACTATCACATTAACCAGAGCAACCAGAGAGGAGGTGTTGCACTTCTCTGTCCTTGGGGGACAGGAAAGGGGCTTTGGTATTTTTATTTCCAAAGTAGAAAAGGGCTCCAAAGCTTATGAGGCTGGCCTCAAAAGGGGAGACCAGGTAATCTATTCTGAGGGGTCTGTCAAGCTTGGCTTCTGATGGAAGGGATTCACTACTGTAACAATCAAAGCTAAAGGGATTAATCACGATCTGTTATATGTTCAGATAGAAGTTGTGATATTGCTGACAGGAGTACATGTACAGAATTGGTCATATAAAAATCTCATTATTTATAAGATTTATATAGAAGCTGACATACATGTACACTGTACAAGTAATAGTATTTTAAATTATTTTCTAATAGGTAAGTGCAAAAATGCAAATATTGGTATTTTTTTGTAGGATTAAATTCTAATCAGGTGTACAGGTATTTGTTTAGGGCTTTAGAAGCCAAGCTTGATTATCTGTTCAGAATTGGGGCTTTTTTACTTTTCTTTTCTTCATTCAAACTAAGAAAATTAATTTTAATCACTATAAACCATATAGTAACAACTAAATAAAAAGAATCACTGATCCATGCCATTCATCAATATTCATTCCATATGCATTTTATTAAAGGCAATATCAGATCCCATGTACAGTATATACTTGTATATCAGGAGGACTTATTTATCACCTAATTGTATTTTAATTCATTGTATTACATTCCCCCATATATATTTCCCACAACATCCCTCTAGCATCAGGTATACATTTCTATATGAAAACACGTACAAATTTAATGTTTGTGATTTTTACAGATTTTAGAAGTAAATGGAGCCAGTCTGAACAATGTCTCCCACAACAGAGCACTGGAGTTACTAAGGGGAACAACTCATCTCTCTCTCAATGTCAAGTGTAACCTCCTAGGTATGATGTAATTTATCAAATGAAATGTGCTCATACTAAGATAATGTTGCTGAGAAATTGGGGAATATTTATCTTAGGATAAGGACAAAACTAATACAGACAATGGAGTCTATTCTTCATGTTTGAAATGGAATCTGAATTTATGCTTATTTACAATATTATAACAGTATTTTACCTTTTTTCTGATGTCAGACTTTAAGGAGCTGTTAGAGGTCCCAGACAAGAGACAGAGTAAGGAGGAGACGCCCACACTCAGTAAGAGGTCCTCCACAGGGGACCTCGAGTCCAAGACCCCAAAGAGTGACAAGAAGGAGAAGAGGGACAAGAAAAAATTCTATACGCTTGGCAAACATAATGTGTTCAATTACATAGGAGGGAAAATTCTGTCAAAAATGCCCTCCTCCTCTAGTTTGGCAACTAAGTAAGTAACAGTTGTGATACTTTTAGTCATATTGAAGTGAAATTGAATTTTAAGATCTGATGTAGGGATATATTTTAGTTACACATTAAATTCTCCCCCTTTTCAATATCATACTGAAATGTATATTTAGATTTATGTTGTTATTTTACAGTGAAAATTTGAATAGATCAGATGAGAGTCTATACAAGGGTTCATCTCGAGCTCGACTGCCGTCCGTTAACTCGCTGTCTACCCTCGGTCTACAGTCACAACCTCTCAGTGCCAGTAACCCTGACCTTTCTGCACTCTCACTGGAGGAGAATGTTAAGGAATATCCTGATATGGTTGTCAAGGTGTACAAAGCTGACCAAACTTTCAAATTTCTGGCCATCACCAAGGTACTTAAATGACCTTTGAACTATAGATTTTAAACATAATTATGAAAACTTTAGTTTTCTAAAGGGAAAAATATAATATTCAGGGGAGTGTCCACAGATCTTTCTGATGCATAATTTTTTTTTCCAGGACACTAATGCAAGACAGGTGGTTTTACAAGCTCTGCAGGAGTTTGGAATTACAGAACCAAGCAGGTACTGAAATTAAGCCAATGTCAATAAGCTAAGCTGAGTAAGCTCTATATAGTGTGTATAGATTTTATGTAAGTGATCAAAAGTAAAATTTTCCAATAATATATAGAAAATTCATGGGTTCTTAAAGGAATTTATTAATGTATAAAACTGTATTATACCTTCAGCAATTATTCCCTCTGTGAGGTGACTGTGGAGAACGAGAACTTGGTCAAACAGAAGAGACTTCCAGACTCTATGGCTAATCTTCCTGACCGGGCCAACTTAAACGGAAGGTAACATGCTGCCATTACTAACCCATATACAGTATCCATAGCTAGCTTTCTTTGTAGACAAAATCATTGTGGGTAATTGTATTTTTTTTGTGTAGTTATCAGTTTCTATGACCACAGTCCCCCTTTTATTTGGATTGCTTTTACATTTGAATTTTTAACACAAATGACTAATATTTTGTTGCTTCAAGCAGAGTATTTAGTTTTTTTATGTAAATTAAAAGATAGTGTAGTTTGGTTAAAAAAAATGCTATGCTGATTAGATTTTTTCTACAAGAGATATTAAAAAAAGATAAAAAAAAAAAAATTTGCGTTTTATATGTTAACACCTTGTTCATGGTATCATAATTAGTGATATGTTAGTGATATATATCAGTATAACAAAAATGTTAGATAGAATTAGTCAGTTTCTAACCCTTTTAAGCTAGATTAGATCCCTTCTTTTTCTGACTTTCTATATATTAAGCATGCAGTCGGGCCCTTTTGTAATCCAGTGTCATCATTTGGTAGATGAATAACATTTTTAAATCAAGATATTTTATAGTTTTGCATGGGTAGAAGTTTTTTTTTTTTTTTCATTTAAAAAAAAAATTCTGCTTTTATTATCTTTATGGTAAATAATATCCAAGATTGGTGCATGTTATGTTAAATGTAAGAAATTTTTATGATTGTCATGGTTACAGATAATAGATAAATTGTTCTTTGTACTATTCCTCTATTTCCATTGTATATATGATGTGTCATCTATTTTACCTGACTTTGTAAGTAACTCCAGTAAACCCCTGGTTTGCCTGTGCACTTTTTCTTTTCAAATGTTGTCAAAATTTGGTGTTAGTGTATTTGGATTGTAGATTTGACTCCACCACTTGTGGTATTGTCTTTGTGTATACGGCAGTTTGAAATATTACCAAGCTAAACACTAAACCACTATATGATCATATATATATCCATGCAAATGATAATGGTTATACATTTATTGAACAACCTGGTATTTATATGGGAGGGCAACGGAAGTTATCCATAATGTAAAAAAAGGCTTGCATTTTATCAGCTTACTCAAGATTTATCACTGTTTTGCTGGAAAAAGATAACATGCATTTATAAATTTTTACTGAGCTCAGAAAATTTAAGAAATCTAGTAAGGGAATTTTCCAAAAAATTATACATAAGGCAGAGCTCAGAAAGAAAAAAAATGAGAAAAACGAAATACAGGAATATTACAAATACCACAATGGGATGGGATATAAATGTATTAATACTATTTACTGAGTGGTTACTAGCATGTCAAGAGGTCAGGGGTCAGGGTCAAGTTTGTGTAGAATGTGGGCCTGGCTTAACCTATCGAAAGACTCTAACGCAACTCTCTAACCATGTATGCCTTGGCTTTGCTTGCTAATAATATGCATTTCTCACTCTGCTCTGACATATATAACAATATATACTCAACCATAAATATTGTTCAATTAAATTGTCTGATTTTTTTTGGATTAAAATTAAATTTGGCAAAATTTGCTTTTGATCTGACAGTAAGTCAATAAATATTTTGGCAAGTGGTATGCAGTAGGCTCCATCTGAAAACCTTGATTTGAAGAAAATTTTACAGAAATGTGTAATTTTATACATTTAAATTGTCTGTCCATAATTTTAGTTGAATGTGGTATACATATATATTCTTTAATTTCCTTATTTTTTCAAATAATATAAAAACTTAAGTTGGCCTTTTGAAACATTTTTGACTCGGCCTTCTAGCCCCTAGTCTTTGTTCAGTATATCTGACAATGCTAGAGATCAGTGTCTGCTATTACCTTAGTGCTACACTGATTGTAATAGTGCATGTAAAATTTATACTCTAAGATAATTGAAACTATTTCCTTCTAATCTTAATTTTTTTTTTGATTGCAAAAAGTGTGTTAAGTAATTATGCTTACAAAATAATAATGACAACTGTAGATACCGAGTGATTATTGCAGTACTAGCAGTGTGTAGTTGGATGACCTTGGTGTTGTGTGTGACCTTTTTATTTTCCCAGCAGTGAATTCCCTGTGTGCAAAACTCTTAACCTTTATCACTGTTGTCATAGATTCTGAGATTTTTTGTTTTTGATGCTTTTAGACAGTTTTGTAAATGCAACCTAATCAAAGTTGAGAATGAGTTTACTAATTAAAAAAAATGGGGAAAACTATACACAGTTATTACCGGTAGTTGATTTCAGTATTTACTGGGTACTCAAGCACCTGCAGACCAGATCACAATCTTACCAAAATTAGCATCTCAAAGAAAAAAAAACAGTTTATGATACAATGTAGAAATGGACAAATGTAAAATATATACCTACTTTGGATCAGAACTCTATAATCCTTTTGTTTTGACTGGTCAGTTGGTCATACAGCTGGTCTGTTTAGTGACTTGACATGCACTAACCATTTTGTGACTAACCCAGTATTTTGACAACATTCGTGCCAGGTCTTGGTGGTCCAGGGGTTTAATTGTCTTGTTTGTTTTTTGACCACTCACCCAGGCGTACTGTTCCATGTGTACTCAGGTATTACCTTAAGAACAATATGAACACGGAGACACTGGTCCCGGACGAGTTACGCGGTGAACTGATCAAGGAGGCTCAGATAAGTCTTCTACAGCTCCACACCACGGAGGTGGCGTCCCAGCTCACTCTGGACGACTTCAAGGTCTTCAAGAGTATAGAGCCCACTGAGTACATCGACAACTTGTTTGGTCTTAACTCTAAGTTTGGTACACCTAACTTACAGAAATTTACAGAGGTTAGTACTGGTACATGTAACATTAGGTCATCAGTTTCTTCACATCATTTAAATCCTTAGCATCAAAAAATAGATTAAAGGCTATATGGTGCACATGTATCTAGTTTTTACTTTTGATTATCCATGAGAAATAAATTCATTGAAAGTTCCTACAGTTCCAGTCACCTTAGTATTTTAGATATATTTTAGATGTACACATGTACATGGTGTTTCTTGTTGTAGCTTATCAATAAGGAGATGTACTGGGTTGTCACTGAAGTATGTGGAGAACTCAATGTTGTCAAAAGAATGAGAATGATCAAACAGTTCATCAAAATCGCAAGTAAGTTTTGCTCAGTTGCTTGATCAAAACTAGTGTTCTACTCCAAGTTTTAAGTGTACAGAATTGCTCTAAACCAAAGGGAAAAAAAAAGATTTACAAAATTCTTTTGTTGTTTTTATTTCAGAGCACTGTAAAGACTGCAAGAATTTTAATTCCATGTTTTCAATATTAAGTGGCCTTGATAAAATATATGTCTCAAGATTACGCAACACGTGGGAGAAATTACCCAGCAAATATGTCAAGATGTATGAGGTAGGCCAACTCTTAAATGATACATACTGAGTTGTTCTCGGAGACATTTTAAATTTTTAGCTCACCTCAACGAAGTTGGGGGGAGCTTATGTGATACCCTCGGCGTCGGCGTCGGCGTCGGCGTCCCAGGTTAAGGTTAAGTTTTTTGGAGCAGTTTTCTTTTTAATTACTTCTGTGTCCTATACTGATTAGACATGCATGGAAGATGGTTTTAGTGTGTTTTATTGTACCAGACAAAGTTTCAGATGCTGCAATTTCAGCAAAGGAATGACCAGGTTAATGTTTTTGAAGCAGGTTAACATTTTTGGTGCAGTTTTTTGTGTGGGTTTCATTTCCAAGTAACTATAAGCCCTATGTTGACCAAACTTGCATGGATGATACATCTAAGGATGCATACTACCATGCTTGCTTCGGATGCTGAATCTGACCTACATTTTCCGGTTGAGTGAACAGGTTAAAGTTTTTGGTGTAGGTTTCATTTCCAAGTAACTATAAGCCCTATGTTGACCAAACTTGCATGGATGATACATCTAAGGATGCATACTACAGGGCTTGCTTCGGATGCTGAATCTGACCTACATTTTCCGGTTTGAACAGGTTAAAGTTTTTGGTGTAGGTTTCATTTCCAAGTAACTATAAGCCCTATGTTGACCAAACTTGCATGGATGATACATCTAAGGATGCATACTACCGGGCTTGCTTCGGATGCTAAATCTGACCTACATTTTCTGGTTGAGTGAACAGGTGAAAATTTTGGTGCAGGTTTCATTTCCAAGTAACTATAAGCCCTATGTTGACCAAACTTGCATGGATGATACATCTAAGGATGCACACTACCGGGCTTGCTTATGCTGAATCTGACGTACATTTTCCGGTTGAGTGATTAGTTAAAAGTTTTTGGTGCAGGTTTCATTTCCAAGGAACTATGAGTTCTTTATTGACCAATCTTGCATAGATGATACATCTAAGGATGCATACTTCCAGGCTTGCTTCGGATGCTGAATCTGACCTACATTTTGTACTTTTTGTGGATGAGTGAAAATGTTAGTTTTGATGCATGTTTCATTTCCAATAAACTATGAGCCCTATAATGAGCAAACTTGCATGGATGATACATCTAAGGATGCACACTAATGGACTTGCTTCGGATGCTGAATTGGACATACATTTTTCAGATAATAGACAAGGTAAAAGTTATGGTTGCAGGTCTATTACCAAAAACTATAAGGCTTATATAACATTGTATAAACCAAACTTGCACAAATGCTGCATCAAGAGATGAAAACTCTCAAATTTGCTTCAGATGCTGGATTTTCATTATATTTTCATGAAGAAGAAGTAGTTTAAATTTTTTATGTAGGTCTATTTCAAAGTATCAGATCAAAATTGCTTTTAAAAATATTTTCATTTTTGGAATGTATACTTTTTGTTGGTTAATTGTGTGACTTTGCCTTACTTAAAGACAACATTCGTTGAGGTGAGCTCTGTAATCTCTGATTACCTATGTTTTTTTTTTGTCTAGTGTGTGATGTTTAAATGCTTGATTTTACAAGAATTCTGGAAATAATTCCATTATTTTAACCTTATTTTTGTTTGTTGTGTTTTAGGACTTAAAGGAATTGATTGACCCTTCAAAGAACATGTCCAAGTACAGGAGTTATGTCAGTAGTGACCACGTTCAACCACCTATGGTAAGAGTGGAGCAATGATCAGCTCATTATATGTATTATGGAGATAAAGCAAAGTATACAATTAATTTCACAAATTCACAACTAACACTTCTTATAATAGGGTATACTTTCATTTTCAGTTGCCATTATTTCCTATTGCAATGAAAGATCTAACTTTCCTGAAAGATGGCAATGATACAAAAGTGGATGGACTTATCAACTTTGAAAAATTCAGAATGATTGCCAAAGAAGTTCGCAACCTCTGCAATATGTGTTCAGCTAAATATGTAAGTTCTTTCTCACTTGCCTAGATTTTTAATTTAGCTTAAGGTTTTATATTACATGCACATGTTGAATAATTTCTTAACTTTTATTTTATTGAACATTGAATATAATTTCTGTGATTGCGGTAATTGTTTCGAGTTGTGAAAAAAGTTATTTAGAAGTTATGACATCGTCATTGAATAAATAAACTTTTTTCTCAGGATGTAAATACGATGTTCCTTGGCACACAAAGTATGTATGAGAGTTCTTGGATCATGGGAATGGCGACCATGAAGAGAGTGAAGAATAGGGTCTACTCTCCCCAATGCTAAGAAAATGTATGAAGAGGCCCAGATGGTGAGGCGCGTGAAGTCGTACCTCAGTAACATGAAGGTCATCTACGACGAGGACAAACTACGGGAAATGTCCTACCAGTGTGAGCCGCCCGAGAACAAAGGTGTGTAAGAAGGGAGTGCGTTAGGGAGGAGGAACACATATAAACTGATTAACGACGAAGCTAGTGATTAACAATCAAGGATTTTTGTGAAAAAAGTTAGTTTTAGGAGCAAGTCCATTTAATGACTAATGAACCAAACTTGCATTGATGCATAGGGATGTATACCAACTTTTTTTCTACATTTTCTAGATTAGTGACCATGTTAAAGTTTTTGGAGCACGTCCACAAAGTAACTATAAGCTCTACCCAGACCAAACTTGCATGGATGATGCATTTAGGGATGGACACAGATGCTGGATCTGAATTACATTTTCCAGATGAGTGACCAGGTTAAAGTTTTTGGAGCAGGTCCATTCCCAAGATGAGTGACCAGGTTCAAGTTTTTGGAGCAGGTTCCCAAGTAATTATAAGCCCTACCTGAACCAAACTTGCATGGATGATGCGTCTAGGGATGAACACTACCAGACTTGCTTCGGATGCTGGATCTGACCTACATTTTTCAGATGAGTGACCAGGTTAAAGTTTTTGGAGCACGTCCATTGCCAAGGAACTATAAGGTGCATGGATGACTCTGTGAATGGACACTACCAGACTTGCTCGGATGCTGGATCTGACCTATAAGATGAGTGACTAGGTTAAAGTTTTTGGAGCAGGTCCATTCCCAAGGAACTATAAGCCCTACCCAGACCAAACTTGCATAGATGATGCATCTAGGGATGGACACTACCAGACTTGCTTCGGATGCTTGATCTGACCTACATTTTCATTCCCCAGTTCACAATATCTATGCCCATTCCAAGGGCAGAAGTTGCTATCACAAGTTTTATATGACTGTCACCATCCTGAAGCTTTTTGATGCACTTTTCTTTTCATCCCAAGTAACTATAAGCCCTACCCTAACCAAACTTGAATTGATGATGCATCTAGGGATGGACACTAACAGACTTGCTTCAGATGCTGGATCTGACCTACATTTTCATTGCCAAGTAACATACCCGAACCAAACTTGCAAGGATGATGCATCTGGACACCACGACCTACATTTTCATTCCCAAGTAACTATAAGCCCTACCCGAACCAAACTTGCATGGATGATGCATCTAGGGATGTACACTACCAGACTTGCTTCGGATGCTGGATCTGACCTACATTTTCATTCCCAAGTAACTATAAGACCTACCTGAACCAAACTTGCATGGATGAAAGGTGTAACTATGTAGGGATGGACACTACAAACTTGCTTCGGATGCTGGATCTGACCTACATTTTCATTCCCAAGTAACTATAAGACCTACCTGAACCAAACTTGCATGGATGATGCATCTAGGGATGGAAACTATATCAGACTTGCTTTGGATGCACATATTAACAAATTTGTGAATATTTGTTTTATACATGTTTTTCACGCTACATGCATAGAAATGTGTATATGCCTTGTAAGGGGTTAAACACAACAATCAAGGATGTGAGATTTTTTACTGATGGACTTTAAATATGTAATAAATTAATATTTTATGCTTACAGCAAAGAGAACTGAACATAGTCCAAGTGTTCCTAATGTTACCATTACAACCAAGGACGAAAAAACTACTGTACCAACAGGTCCAAAATTTGGTAAGAACTGGATCATTCTCTTATTTAGTCTCCCACAAGATGATTTCAGAATTTTCACACAAAAAATCTTTTTTTTTTATTTTAATTATGTCTAACTGTCTTTGATTTTTTTCTTTCTTTCTTTTTTTACTTTGATATGAAATTATAAACTTTTGTCTCCTATAATTGTAATGCATATTTAATGATTTCAATATGTCTGTTTAACTAAGTAATATATTTGATTAGCTTGTTTTATATCAATTCTTGTAACATTTTTAGCTTTTTCCCAGGTTTTCTTTGTTTGTCTATTGTATCGTTTTAGTTTGTTATGTTTTCATTACAATAACATCATCACTAACGCTTTCCCTATGCAATATAAAAACTCTTCTGCATGAATCTTGAGGTGTATTTCTTTTGCCGTTAGGTGCTGAATCTCCACAGGCAATCCAGAAATTGATGGGATTGTCTGCGTCTGTTAAACCTCATAAATCCCATTACCCCCTCCCCCCTGCTCCGTCAGGGGTAAGCAGTCCGTCCCATAGCTCAGGGCGACGACCACCCACATCGCCCCGTCATTCTGCTGCCTTAAGGTCCCATCCAGTTCATCTGTCACCCGAGAGTTCATCTGTCGTCAGTCTTAGTAATATAGCTTACCGCAGACCCAAACGAACTGGTAAGATAGCACCACGTCCTTCTAATTTAGTTGTGTTAGAAAACAAAATGAGGTGATGGAGTTTATTTTTGTTTTAACAATCATCATTTAGTTACCTTTTGTCTTGTTATTTCTTATGAATGCAGTACTTTTTATGTTACAAGCCTTCCCTTTGTATTTTCTTTGCATGCTCCTCGTTATAAGTTTGAACAAACACTCTTCCAGAAAACCACAATATCCTGAAGTATGGAATATATGGCTGCTTGATTTAAATACACATATTTGAAACACTTCTTTTTGGTTTGACCCTTTGTACATGTATATGATATCCAATGATTTTACCTTATTTGAACATTTGTGCAAGCTCAAACTTAATTTTTTTTCTGATTGTTTAGGGTCTCAAACTTCCCAGACATCGTTGACGTCAAACGAGTCGAGTTCCACAGACAACACACAGACCAGCCATGGTTCTCATCCGCAGTACGCTCGGCTGTCTCACAATCAGCATGAGTCACCTGATTCTGCCCGCCACAGCATGATCTCCACCAGCTACGACACTCAGAGCACCAATTCCGTGGGGTCCAACAACAGCTCCTCCTCTACCCACTCCCCGCCCCCACATTACCGACGTCACGGCCCCCAGACCGGTCAGTATCTACAGCTTGGTGGCTAATTTTAGCTTGGCATTTCTTAGTATGGGGCTCATATGTGAGGGAATAATTTTAAACAAATTCTAATAGGGTTGCAAACTGCATGAGGTGAAATTTAAAGTCATATAGTATGTGGGATGGGATAATGTATTAATAGTAATATGGCATTAATGATTGTGTGGAAAGAAAATAATACAGATGAGAATTATAAAGAAAAGGGTCTGTTTTCTCAGCTCGAAAGCCTCTTTGGTCCAAGTAGCACTTGTTCCCTATCAATGTAATGTGATGAACATTATCTGTTTAGATTGTTTGATTTACTCCTGTTGTGTTAGATAGCTGTGTGTTGGTGGTGGTGTATTTGTGTTCTTTCTCCCGACAATACTTATTTTGTTAATAAATGGTTTCAATTTATTATAAACAAAATGAAAATTTGACGAAAAACTCATCTGGGAAAGCTAAAATCTGCAATATATTAAAAAGGAAAATGAAAACTCATTACAAAACCAGCATTTTTATTTTTGGGCATCAACTTCACCGACCTATATCTCTCCAACTCCACTGTATATGTGTAGTGTATAGCACACTCTATCGTTCCCCTCTCTCTCTGCTTGGCTACTGATCTGCTACTGTGGCGTAGTTTCTATGGCTGACTTTGATCTCTGGCCCCTATGTTTGATGTATGTATTCTCTTGCAGCACCGCCCTTCCTACATCAACATAGTACTCCACCTCTTCCCCAGGCTAGGGCGAGACCACCATTACCGCCCTATAATGTTGTCATGCAAAATTCACCAGGTGAGATAAGTGTGTCGTGTATTAAAACCAGTTCTAATCACGGTGTATAACACATGCAATTCTAATTAGAAATTCATCCAGTTCATCCACAGAAATTATTTACTCTCATGTCCATTTCATCGGATATGATATTGATTTCAATCCCCACTTAGTGAGTAAATAGATGAAATAGTATCCCTTGGTAGGAGAAAAAAATTGAACTGATGAGCCAGGTGTATCAATATCGCATGAGAACATCATGTTCATCCCACACTGTACATAGTTCTGCACGTCATCAATGCTTGTATTAATCTCAGGCTCTTAGCTGCTATTTCTATATTTTAACACATTAGATCAACACTGGACCCAACTTTATCTTCTCGCAAAGGTTTATAACATTGTAAAGCTTAAAAAGGGCTTTGGGGTTTTTTAGAATTAAAGATAAAGTTGGGTTCTTCAAACTCTTGATTTTCTTGTCAGCTGTGTCTGAAATGCAGTAGTGTGTGACTGATTCTCTTTTTCTGTCTTAATATTTCAACTTCTTTCCTGAATGAAAATCGATTTCATATTACTTGACATTAAAAATAATTGATAAAAAAATATACAACTCTCTGAAATGAAAGTAAAAAAAATTGTTCTTTGATATGAATTATACTATAGGCATGTATTCATATGATACTCTGAAATAAATATTCTTGCTTGTAAATACTCTTATATGGAAATCTTGAATGCTCATACAAAAGTCATTTATCCTTCTGCCTTCCTCGACAGCCTATAGCCATATTATCCATCAAACGTACACTAAAGTCCGCCGACCGCCCCTGCCTGACTACCAATCTGCTACCCACATGGCCCAACTAGCTCGCCAGAAGCAATATTGGCAGATGGACCGATCTCATTCACATGAAGGGGTGTTAGGATACTGCAATGGGCAGGCACCTTATTACCAAGTCTCTGATGAGGGTAGGTTAACATTCCCATATTCCCCTCAGTGGATGCCAAAACTTTGTCAGAACAAGGGAATCATATCTTGTTTTATGGTTTCAACACAGCTAGAATTCACTGTCAGACAGTATAATGAGTTTAATTTTGAAAACTGAAATCATTTGTTAACATTTTTTGCTTGCCCTCCTCTTGTTTTGGTAACATGTCTTACTTTATACAGTGTTGTTCTCCATGTTTTTGTTTGGACTAGTTTCCTTTTTGTCCTTTGTTAGCATGAATTGTTTTAAAATTTCAGAAGAAAGTTGAAGAGTTATAATTGGATTCTAACATCAGCAACTCATACCTGTATCACTGTATTTAGAAAACATAATTCAAGTTTCACATCAGCCATATTATGTTTCAAAAACAATAATCCTGATATGTATCAACTAGTATAATAAAATATGACATTATAAATCCTGTATATAAACTATATATTCAATACAGTGTATATCCAATTGTACAAAATACTATTATATCACATTTACAGACTGCAATTCATACAGACAAGAATTGACATGGTGACAATTATCCAGATAGGCTCATTAACAATAATCTCTTTAAGCATTGATTATTGAACTGATATATATTCCCATTTTGAATTGTTTAGGTGATGGAAATTTTAATATTAATTAAATGAAATATAAATGAAGTAGAACTTGTTACTCAGGATTCTTTTCATTTTCTTGTAGAAGAAGAGGAACAGGTGTCGGCAGTTTGAGGAGGCTTTCCTTCAGTAAGCTAGAACTGTTCTCCAGGCCTGGGAAGGGTCTACAGCATCCCCGTATGTCTGTCAGTCATAACTGACAGGAAGGGGTGTGTACAAACAGGAAGGGGCGTGGCCCCATTTAAAGTGCAATTCTTCCTGCTCATCTGTGATAGTCAAAAAAACCTATAATCCTCTATAACTTAGGGGAAAATTGTTGGTGCAAGTTAAATTCTTGTGCAAACACTAGTGCAATTTGACACAAAATAGGCAATGCGATGCGATGCATGTGTATTAGTGGCAGTATTAATCTGACGAGGATCTGTCTTCGTGTAAACTGATCTGAAATCATCCAGCCACGCGCTGCTCTGTGTATATGTGTTCAGACCAAGGGACGTTTGATGATGGTACTTCCTACATACAGTTATAGTGCTATACCATGATCATAGTGTGAACTGTGCCATTACATCAAAGAAAGAGCTTCCTTATTTTCCAAGGAATTGGACTCCAGAATTATTCATATATGTATTTGTATACCAAAGATTCAGTCATCATTTTACTCATTTTGTTTAAAAATGGCAAGAACCATATTGAATTGTTTTAATTTTATCATTATAATATATTTTCATTCAAAGTAAAAGTTTATTCATGTTTAATTTATTGGATGTATAAACCTGTTTTATTTTAATTTCAGATTATCTATAATGTACACATCTCATCCCACAAAATTTTAATACATAGGTAAAAAATGATGAAAAACATTATTAAAACCATGTTTATTTTAATTAAGATTTCTAAATTTTTAAAATCTTATCAGTTCATACTTATGTGTAAAATTTCTATGAAATTGTCAACATCTGACATATGCTCTGTATGTGCTTAATATAAGTTCTGAAACCAGAGAAAGCAACAACCACAAAACAAGCAATTAAATCTTATAAATGTTACAAAAACTGCTGGATAGATAATGTATGTTATTATTCTGAAATGGCTTTTCTGCAATTCAATTCCTATTAAATTTTAAAGGTTCATCAACTTTCTAATAAGAAAGATAACTCTACCTAAGATGGACTATTTACCTTAGTTAGAAAATTTTGAAATTTTAAACATTCAGAAAAAAAATTATATTGGTGAACAGAAGAATGAGAAACCTTAGCCTTACTTATAATTTGTTTTGGTTTTGGGAGTGGGAGGGACTAAAATTAGTTTATAACATGCTAATCTATCATAAAAGTATTTTTTGAAAAAAAAAAAAAAAACTATTTAAGTTGATCATTATTCGATAAAAATTATTTCTTTTTTAAAAGAAATATATTTAGGCATTTATTTTTGTGCCTATAAGAATTATGGCTGCTAAAATTTGTTTTTATGGATGTTTCTATGGATAATTTAATGTCTTTTTATGTAATACTAAATGTGATTTATATGCATCATTTGGAGAACTATAGAAAATAAGAATCTAATAGGAAACTGTTTTAGTAAAAAAAATTTGTTTTATTCCAGGTACTAGACAGAGTAATATGTAATTCAGTATTATGTAAATTTATAGCTAACATGTCTGACACTGCCAAATCTTTGCCAAGGGACCAGAGTGTCCCAATATAGTCTTATAACTGATGTGACATATAAATTGTTTTGTTTAAAACATACAGGGACAATTTATTATTTTTTCTTTTAAGAAACAATGACATTAATTTTTTTCTTTTTCATGACCCAATGTCAATTTTTGGCTTTTGTGAAAATACTGTTCTATTAAAAATGAAATTTAGATAAGTATTTAAAATATCTCTACTGAGAATGTTAAGTTGCAAGTATGTCTTTTAAGACTGTAACCAATCTAAAATATGCTTTGTCAAATATACACAAATTTTAACCAAGTCTAGTTGAATTCAGGGAACAATGAGATAACTTGTAAAGAGATTTTGTCAATGATGATGTACAGTAAAATAGTATTAACAACGAAGTCACAAAATATTAATTTTATCATGCATCCTGTATATAATTTACTTATTACCAAGAAAATAAATAAAATTATTAAAACCATACATCTCAAGCTTTATTTGATGTTACATTCATTACTTCAGTTTTGAATATATACATATGGAGAACATACTGTAAAAGTATTACATTTGGCTGTGTATTCTTTTTAGCGTTTTTGGCGGAAAGCAATTTTCAGTAATTCAAGTACAACGCTAAATATCTCGCACATATATATATAAAGAAGAACATTAAGATGTGCTAAATCAGATTGACGCTAACTTGTTTAAAAACCAATTTCCGCCAAATATCGTACAGGCTAAATATAATACATTTACAGTAACATGGAATTATTTTACAATTTCCTTTCCTGTCCAGATACCCCCTGAATCCATCTTGTTCTTGGAGACAGGCCCTTTGTATGAAGCCGTTTGCTGTAATTTTTAGCTTACCTCAATGAAGTTGGGGGGAGCTTTTGTGATACCCTTGGTGTCAGCGTCCCAGGTGAAGGTTTTTAGAGCGGTTTTCTCTTTAAGTACCTGGTACTTCTTTGCCCTATATTGATCAGATATGCATGCAAGATGCTTCTGATATGTTTCATTGTACCAGTCAAAGTTTCAGATGCTGCAATTTCAGGTAAGGAATTACACTGTACCAGGTTAATGTTTTTGGAGTACGTTACTTTAACTACATGTTGACCAAACTAGCATGGGTGATACATCCAAGGATGCATACTACCAACCCTGTTTCAGATGCTGGATCTAACCTACATTTTCCGGATGAATGAACAGGTTTAATTTTTTGGAGCAGGTTCATTCTTAAGTAACTATAAGCCCTATGTTGACCAAACTTGCATGGATGATACATCTAGGGATGCACTCTATCAGGATTGCATCTAGATTTTCCAGAGTTATTTTGGAATGTACACTTCTAGATTATTAGTTTAATGTGGGACTTGGCCTTGCTTAAAGACAAACATTCGTTGAGGTGAGCTCTGATTACCTATGTTTATAGTACTAATAATAATATTGGTATTACCTATTAGTATTTCTTTGGGTAGAAGTTATCTGTACTTGTAATGTTACATGTAATATTAGCTATATGATATTATAGCTGTTTTGCCAATAACACAACTGATTCGATCAAGAATGATAAACAAATATATATTATAAACAACCTCTTGGTTGCATTCACAAAACTGTCTTTAATACTTTTAAAATATATATGGTACATGTATTATTTGTAGTTCTTTTATTTACTTAAATATTTTTAATATACTAGTATAAAAAATTTATGTTATTACATCATGATAGATCACTAATAAAGATGTGTAATACACTTCTGGAAATTCTAGTGCTTGTACTCAAAAATGGGACATTTTGCATCCTTAATTTGATACAAATGTACATGTACCTGATAATTGCATACTTTTCAATTATTACTAAGTCTATTATATTAAAAAAAAACCTTGAGAGTTTTCCAGACTATAGCATTTTTCACTCTCAATTTGCAACAAGAATATATCTTAAACTCCTTTCCTTTGCCAAAATAATTGTCAGGGAAGACGGGGGAAGTCAGACTAGGCAGTTTCAACAAGATCGGAGAATGTCAGGGAACGACAGGGAGTAGACAGGGTAGAAAGGGAGTGGACAGGGTAGACAAGGATAACGACAGGGGATTGTAGGGGAAAGTCAGGGAGTGACAGGAAAATGTCAGGGACTGACAGGGGAACGACAAGGGATTTTTTGGCATCTTTAAGGGGGGGGGGGGGTATTTAATTCAGCAAAGTGAAAAGGGGGGATAAATCAACAACAACAAAAAAGACAAGTCCCAATTTCAATGCCTATACATTATGTCTATCTCTTGACAAAAAAGGGGACTAGCCCCCCCCCCCCCCCCCTACCGTTCCGACCACAGGTACTTGGGAGTTGGGCCCTCCTTTCCTAATTTTTTCTTTTTTATATCTTGGGTCACACCATCCTTTTATGCACTACTTCACTTGCAATCGATAATGTAACCCGTTTGTCTTTGTAAGAAACGAGTGTGTCAACCTCAGATAAAAGAAAAATGGAAAGAAGAGGGGGTCCAGCCTCCTATATAAAATTCGAAATCAAAATTTATTTCTATATTGAGCAAGAATAACAAATAATTCTCGTTGTCTTGGGTAAAAAAAAGTAAAATATTATTGATACCTTGAATTTCTTTCTAAGAATGTCTCTATAATTTTAGTAAAATGAAACTGATGTTTGGTCGAAACAATGATTGAACGACTTATTGAAGTTTAACTCAACTAGAGGAACTTCGAACGAAACATGGAAATTGCTAAACGAAGGAGCAAGAAGAATAGGAAAACAAAGAAAATTCTTGTCTTCAATGAACAGAATAGAATGTAATTGGTATTTTGAATCGATGGTTGAAAATCTGACCCAATCATTTCAACAGATGATTGGAGGAAACGATTTAGCGTGCCTGCCACTTACTGCCAGTTAACGTATTTTATTGTGTAAATGTGTTTGTGTAAATCTCTAATCACTTGCTCATATTTACTAATAACAGGATGCAAATTTTATTCTTTTTGGCCAGATTTCAAAATTTCTAGTCTTTGTCCATGTAATGTTTGTGTAAATTTTTCTATGCACTCCCTTGACAGAAAATAATTCATACTTCAATAAATCCAAGATTCCTCACATCCCATGATGTGCATATGTCACAATCTAAAAAAAAAAAGCAAGGCTGTTAAGAGGAAAACCTTCAATGTGCAATATATCATAAATTTTAAGTACATTGTGTATTTGAATGAACTGCATTTACACAAAAGAGTAAATTATGTATGTATGAAAAATGTACATGTGGACACGGTTAAAATCTCTCAAATGTATAAATATTGAATATAAAAAATATAACACAGTAAAACTCGTTTAGTACGAACACAGATATTGCAAATTTATGGATATAGCCAATAGGGCTGTCATGGTTCCAAAATTTTTCAGGTTGGGTCGGTTCCAATTTTTTAGCTCACCTGAGCCGAAGGACGTCTGTCCGTCTGTCCGTCCGTCCGTCCGTCCGTCCGTCTGTCTGTCCGTCTGTAAACTTTTCACATTTTCGACTTCTTCTCAAGAACCACTGGGCCAATTTTGACCAAACTTGGTACAAAGCATCCTTGGGTGAAGGGGAATTTAAATTGTTAAAATGAAGGGACATATCCCCTCGCAAGGGGAGATAATCAAGAAAAGACAAAAATAGGGTGGGGTCATTAAAAAATCTTCTTCTCAAGAACCACTGGGCCAGTAAAGCTGAAAGTTACGTGGAAGCATCCTGGGTTAGTGCAGATTTTAAATTGTTTAAATCATGACCCCTGGGGGAACGGCGGGGCCACAATGGGGAATCAAAGTTTTATATAGAAATATATAGGAAAAATCTTTGAAAATCTTCTTCTCAAGAACCACTGGGCCAGAAAAGCTGAAACTTATATGGAAGCATCCTGGTATAGTGTAGATTCTAAATTGTTCAAATCATGACCCCCAGGGGAAGGGCGGGGCCACAATGGGGAATCAAAGTTTTACATAGAAATATGTAGGAAAAATCTTTGAAAATCTTCTTCTCAAGAACCACTGGGCCAGAAAAGCTGAAACTTATGTGGAAGCATCCTGGTATAACGTAGATTCTAAATTGTTCAAATAATAACCCCTGGAGGAAGGGTGGGGCCACAATGGGGAATCAAAGTTTTACATAGAAATATATAGGAAAAATCTTTGAAAATCTTCTTCTCAAGAACCACTGGGCCAGAAAAGCTGAAACTTATATGGAAGCATCCTGGTATAGTGTAGATTCTAAATTGTTCAAATCATGACCCCCAGGGGAAGGACGGGGCCACAATGGGGAATCAAATTTTTACATTGAAATATATAGGAAAAATCTTTGAAAATCTTTTTCTCAAGAACCACTGGGCCAGAAAAGCTGAAACTTATGTGGAAGCATCCTGGTATAATGTAGATTCTAAATTGTTCAAATAATGACCCCAGGGGGAAGGGTGGGGCCACAATGGGGAATCAAAGTTTTACATGGAAATATATAGGAAAAATCTTTGAAAATTTTCTTCTCAAGAACCACTGGGCCAGAAAAAGTGAAGCTTATGTGGAAGCATTCTGGGGTAGTGTAAATTCGAAATTGTAGGAATCATGACCCCCGGGGGAAGGGCGGGGCCATTATAGGAAATCAAAGTTTTACATGGAAATATATAGGAAAAATCTTTGAAAATCTTCTTCTCAGGAACCACTGGGCCAAAAAAGCTGAAACATATGTGCCCATGGAAGGATCATGGGGTATTGTAGATTTCAAAATGTCTAAATTATGATCAGTGGGATAGGGTGGGAATGCATTATGTATAACAAGGGTGAAATCTGGTAAAGAACAGAATGGTCAAAGCTTCTCAGGTGAGCGATGTGGCCCATGGGCCTCTTGTTTAGGTTTGGTTTCGGGTTCTTCAGTTCGGGTATGCAATGGAATAAAAGCTCATGATCTGAATTATATTCAACAAAAAAAATATTTTCATTTAATCTAAGAAATAGCAACATAATAACTAGTTTAAAGTAGTTTCCTGACTAGAAAACAATTGTACCAAATTATTTAAATCACATTATAATGGCAATGTACTAATCAAAACCTAGTTAGAATGATCTAACTGTGTCTCGGTACAAGCCCTCACCACAGTTAGAATACGTCCCATATACTTGCAATGTAGCAAATCGGAGCGGATCCGCTCCGAAACGATTTTGAAGAATATAAAATGATTTGCACTGGGAATAACTACCAAAATAATTAAAACAAACCTTTTTGAGATTGCTTCTGCCTTTTATCCCAAAATATAATCCAAATAAATACGAAAATCCAATTCATTTTCTCAACGTTTTTCTCTCGATTCAAATTACCTCCATGTTTACATTCGGAACTCTCTAGATTGTTCCTAGTAAATGCACTAAGCGAGTTATCACCCGTGGTTCTTTTTGCTACATTACGAATACACAGAACGAATTCTATCGTTAAACCGGGTCCGTAGGACAATATCATTTTAACGATAGAACATTCTATCTAATCAAAACCGAACAGTATTCCGGAAAAACAGGACCGAACCCGGCCAGAATTAATTGTTCTGCGGTTCCAGGTCATTTCGGGCACCCGTGAAAGCCCTAATGGCGAAGTTATTTTGGATCCCTACTTCCGTAAATCTGGAAATTTTTACATCGATTTTATTTTGCGTATCTGGGTCAAAATGCTGTTGATTAATTTTTACGTTTCAAAATTTTGCGAATGACCACTACTTTGTTTATATTTTGTTATTGTTGAATTATTTTTAAGAAAATATTTTTGCAAATGCAATTAATTGCAAATTTGCTAAAACTTTATATACAGCAAAAATTTCCAGATTTACGGTATATAAATTTAACAAATTCCTCATACAGATATAATATATAGTGATTAGTGAAGTAATTTCATAGGTCCCCATAATCTCTGTGGAGATTCTGCTGGGCTAGATATTTGGACTGACGCCCACAGAATCTCTGGACAACCCTCAATAATTCATGTCTGGAAATTAAGTCCCAACTTCGGCAGACTATCGCAAGAATTATTCACATGGGCGACACTGCCGTCCGCTTCAGTTTAGTCATTTGGTTGTTTATTTGACTCTATGTCACTATTATTTCTACATTGCTTACCATTTAGGCATGTAAATTCCAACATAAAAATATCAGACTTGTCGAAATTTTTTAATCACTGTCAGACATTTGGTCTGACAAAGTCAAAAGTTCTGTCAGACCAGTCAAACTTTTGTCAGACCAGATACTTGTACCTTATTTTGATGCTGATAAAGTCATATGAATAACAGCACCAAAATGTCCTTTATCATCCAAATAGCGCATTTGGACGGATTATGTGAGAATAGGTGTATAGTTTGTTTTCAGGACATTTTAGCTCACCTGAGCAAGAGTCTTGTAAGTGATCAACATTTCACACAGATTAATTATTTTCAATAGCCTTCAGTCTAACAAGTTTCCTTTCTTGGTATAGAGAGTCTTTAACATAGACATAAATTACAAGTTTTAAGACTTTGCTATAACCAATTTACTTAGATATCATCAGCATGCTGCGTACGCAGACATTTTCTCTGTGTTTGTGACCTTTAACTATGCATCCCGATCCCGACCTTTATTTAAATTTGCATTACGCTCAATTTTTTTCAAACGGTCATCTGGACCGACGCTTTCTTCAATGTTATCGGTCCAGACAAATTTTTACAAGCCTTGCCGACAGGACTGATGGATTTCGACAAGTCTGAAATATTCAATGAGATCTCTGTTCAAAACATGGCTCCTGTGATGAAATTATTTTCTCCTTGCATAAAAAAGTTCCTATATTCTGTTTGAAAGTTTGAAACAAATGGCAGTGTTGCCTAGTATGTAAATAATTCTTGCTATAGTCATCCGAAGTTGTGGCTTAATTAATTTCCAGACATGAATTGGGTTGTCCAGAGATTCTGTGGGTGTCAGTCCAAATATCTTGCCAAGCAGAATCTCCACAAAGATGAAAGTCCTCGGAATGACTTCGCTATAACTGAGTTATACTGTATAATAGAATAATAATATAATAGACTATCAAAAAAGAACAGGTTGAAATCTCCTGGGTGTAGAATGTATGACTAATAAGTTTTTTCTTATGAAACAGAGAGTATTTGACTGGATTTCGGAAGAGGAAAAAAGAAAGACAACAGCATGCTAAAGAAGAAAGAGAAAAGAGATTAAAAGAAGACAAAAAGGCTCTAAAACAGCAGGTAATGGACATGATGATTAATTAGATAGGTACACTGGAAAGCCAAGAGATTTTTAAAACTATTGTTCAGTATTATTTATCTATGCATGATTACTTTACAATATGATATAGAGTAAAAACTCTCTTATGAAGTATGAGTCAGTGTTGACTGTTCAATCATTAATCTTTAGAAAGAGTAGAATTACGGGCTCCTGAGTTGAATATCAATATATATATTTTTAAAATTTCTTTATCTAAAATGAGACGTTTCTAAATAACTGGACAAATCATTTTAAATACTATTAATAGTATTATTATATTGATTTACAGAGGAAGGAGTTGTTGTTGAAAAGTCAGAAATATGCAGGTAAGAGGAAGTCCAAGGTGCCAGAACTGGATGATATTGAGGATGTAGAGACTTCAGTGGTGGATCTACCTTCTCACACAGTTACTGTAACAGACATCTCAGAAATAGATCTAGCAGGGCATAGTGGACTGAGACTGGGTGTAAACAGGGTAAACATTATCAATATATACATGTATATTTACGGGAGTGCAAGAATTCACTGTTAAAGAGAATTTTTTTTAAAATTTATGCTTAAAGTCAATAAAAACTGATAAAAAAATGTCAAAAAAACTTTCTTTATTTAAATTTCACAAATTTTGTACAGATTTCATGATTATTTTTCATCAAAAGGCTACAGATATGACACTTGAAAATGTATAGGTGAATTCAATTCATAATAAAATTTATTCCAGAAAAGAGGTTTTACTCAAACTTTTTTTGGTTATTTGCTCATCTGAGTCAATGGCTTAAGCTTTTCTGATAAAAGTTTTTCAGTCTTTGTTAACTTTTTTACAGTTTCATTGTCTTCTCCAGAACCACTTTTTCAGCCAAACTTGATATAGACTACATGTACAGGGTACCCCTGGCTGAAAGGGTTAAAAGCTTCTTTACATTTTAGGGAAGATCAGATTTGTTAAATCATGAATTGGCTGTTGATAATCATGTTTTAAATGGGAAATATTGTTTAGGCTGATGAGGAAGAGGAGAAAACTGAAGATGACAGCATGGTTAAAATCAGTGACGAGAAACTGAAGAAATCTCTAAAGAGGCTTAAGAAGAGGTAGATTAAAAAAATATTACTAACCTACGAGTTCATTCCTTTCCTTCTGTGGTTGTTTCTTTTATCTTTAAAGAGTTCTATTGACTAGATTTTGAAAACAGTGGACATTTGAGTTTTAATTTGCACACTGGTCAAACAGTTCCTTTTATTTTTAGAATAGTCCTTCACAGTTGTTATGGTATATTATTTATATTACATTGTATGATCAATTAAGATGGTTATCTGGATGTTGCCTTATTTAGATTGCTAATTTCTTTATAGTGGACACTTACAAGTTTACAAGAAATATTTAGATAAACAACTTTGATTGTGAATGCTGATTTCTGATACTGCCTTATAATTTTTTGCAAAGTAATTTTAGTGATTTTGTTATGGTATAAAGATTACCAATAACCATAGCCTTCAATGTAGGAATAAATGTGAAAACATTTAATGATATTGAATTTTAGCCATCTCAACATCCTTGCTAAAAATGCCAAATTTAATTCCTCTCTAAAATTTCTGCTTATACAGTGTATTCACCTAACAATGCTGTGTGATTTTACTTTGTGATATGGATTTTTACACTTCATCTTTTCATTCACTAAGACCAGACCTAAGGAAGAAGAGGAGAAACAACTTTTTCTATGATTGCATTCACTAAGTAAATGTTGAATTTGTTTCAGTGGTCTTATGGCTTAGGATATTGCTGTGTATAGGTCAAGGCCATTGTAGAACATGTAGCTGAGTTAAATATTTCTATGCTTCAAATTCGTATCTCTGAAGGTTTAATGTTTTAACCCCTTAACGGCCAAGTGCGCCTTTTGACGCATTTTCAGCATCACAGTGATTTAACTGTTGGCATTTTGTAAATAATTGGGATACAACAAAACAGTTGATATTTTCTGAAACTAGAGAAGAAACACAACAATTTTTCTATTATCAGTTTTTCTATGTGATGTTAAGAAATTATTGTAAACTTGAATTGAACATTGAATATAATTGCGGAAAGTTAGTAAAATTACGCATAAATGATTGATTTTGCTCCATCTTCTGTAGGCTGTATCTCACTTACAGCACATGAGTAAAAAAAAAATGAATGCATATCCTAAAAGCAGGAAATTTTCCCTACATCTTCTCTATTGGACATTGAAAGGTACGAGCATCCGTTACAGAAATATTTGCTGTTGAATATTGGAACTTTTTCGAGTAAAACAAAAAAGCACTATGACGTCATCTAACGTTTTACGTGTATACAATGAAATCGTTCATAAGCTCGGTGTAAAATAAATCGATTCTTTTAATATATGGAACAGATTTATTTTTGAAAGGAATTATTTATAAAGAAGAGTTAATATACGAAACGTTTTGAGCCGTAAAGGAATATTCATTAGCTTTAGAATATAAGTGATAGTTCAACGCCCCGATTTCGCGCACCCACTGTTTCAGAAATCCCTGTCGAATTTTGTGTCATTCCTAAATGTAGTAGGAATAATTAATCAAGTAATCAGGTATTGTCGTTACCATGTTCTTACTTTTCGGATTTGTCATTAAAAGTTAAAAAAAAATATACAAGCTTATAATTTTTTTTTCGAGTCCGTAGGCTAGTATTTCAAATGTACTTTGAAAGGAAAAGCTGTCACAACGACGAAACATATTAGGAGTTAAAATTTCGATGAAAGAGATATTTTTGCTAACACACAAACTGCATTTATTAAACTGACGCGATTATTTTTCTTAACCTTATCTTTATCTATTATAAAATGAATGTAAAGGAACATGAAACTAAAATAATGAATATACACTGTGATATTTTATTTTTTAAAATCGGGAAACTTAATTTCGTTTGAATTATTTCCCTTTCTGTTACCATGGTTGTTATATACACAGGGAAAAACAAGCATGGACAATTAATTTTTTTTTTCATGTCACTTAAGATTTGCCGTTATAATATCTTAACTATAAATTTAAGATCGAATTCAGCTCTAAGATATAACATACACGCATGTTTTTCTTTAAAAATATTTTCGATATGTATGTAGTTAAAGTTTAGATATGAACATCATGAAGGCCTAATGTTGAAAACGTATTCCACTGCAAATATTAATGTCGCTTAATTTATTTACAAATTTCAAGACGGGATTCTCAGCCGTAAAAGCGTTCCAAACAGATTGCGATGAATGTTTTTTTTTTTTCTTTTTAAAATTTTTTATTACCCCATCATATGAATATGGTGAACAATAAGTTTACAGCCAAGGTTGGGGAGCCTTGGATTTGCGATGAATGTTAAATAAATTTTTTTTATCTTGAATAAAAAAAATAAAATCAAACCTATTTACCAAAAAGAAATGCATGGATCTTCGTATCTCTGAAGGTTTAATGTTTGGCAATACATGTATTAGGTTTCCATTAGAATTTGGTGTGATTTTCTTCAATTCAAAGAAGTATGTTGTAGGTGAATGTTTCTCTAGCAGTTGAAGAATATTGTCCATTGTGCATTTCATATCTGAAGCCAAGATGATTAAGACCTTATTAGTACTTTATATTTCTTTTATATTTTGCAGACAAGGAGAAATCGACTCACACATTCATCCATCAAAGAAGACAAGGTTTCAGAAGACCCATCCCAAGCAGTACGACAAAAAGTCAATGAAGAAGAGGAAAGAAAAATTTTCTTATAAAAGGCAGAAAAAGAAAATAAAACCTAGAAATTAATAAATATTTTGTTATCATTTAATACCTACAGCATTATTACCATGTTTTGCTGTACAGTAAAACACAATTTTATCAAAGTGCCAGGGATAGAAATTTTGCTTCATTATAAATGTAAATTGTTATATCCAGCCAGTTTGCCTCACAATTTGTTTAAAACCTAAGGGAAATGAACATAACTTCCCTATAGGAGTCAATTCATTTATAAGCATGTTTAATTTGCCCTATATTTCTGGCTAGGTATCCATCAACTCCATGCTGAAATGCAGCTCGTTTCAGCCAGAACGTCATTGCCTTCCCTTGACTGAGGAGGTACCACATGGAGTACACTCCAAAGTGCATTTTACCACTGAAAGTCATGACTATATAAAGAGAAAAGCCATACAACGTGGTAGGGGTTGGCCGACATTTGTGATTATCTATAGTAAAATTTTGCTTTGATTCTTTTTTCACATTTTACAGGGGCCTATAAGTGCACTTGTTCTTGACATGAAAAATTGGTAATGCTAGATCCATATCGTTTTTTCACTCACAAGAAAGAAATCAAAATGTCTTATTGATCACCAGGCTGCAGGATCATGAAACAGACTTAGTCTTGAGTCAAATTTTCAGTTTCCTGTAAGATATTTAAAATTATTTATTGAATCAATCTCTAATTTTGCAGATAACAACACTTTTATTCAGCAAGATTGTAAAGTACCCCAGTAGTTTGATTTTTGCCTGTTTGACTTCAACATTTTAGTACAACAGAAAAAATTTTGACTTAAGCTTACCGGGTAAGAAGCTTCATGATCTTGTGGCCTGGCCTGGTTTGGCTTTTATGAACCACATTAGGCCTAATTTAACAATTACTTGTTGATAGGAGTACTGTTATACAAAAAGTTTACACACATCTATTACTTTGATATTTTGCTCACTGTCATATAAGGAAAAGAATCCTCAAAAGTTAAAGGGTGCTGCATCTTAGGACCTCATGTCAAAGTAGAAAGGGAAAGGGAAATACTGGTATTTACCACTAGTATTTCCTGGCTGAGCCTGCAAAAATATACAGGTAGTACACTGAAATGCAGTAAATGTTATGTCTGAATTGAACATTTTGAGCTTTCCTTTCAATGTTGATAATCACTTTATGACAGGCCAATTTCCTTAGAAAGGAAAAAGGGATCAATTGCTTCGATATTTGAGTACTTGTAGAAAAGTTATTTGGAAAATAAAATAGCCTACATGTATATATATATTTAGGAATAAATTCCAACTGATACATTTAAATTCAATAAACATGATATATTCATAATACACATATTTATACCCCACGCAACTAGTTGCGGGAGGTATAATGTTTTTGACCCGTCCGTCAGTCAGTCCGTCAGTCAGTCAGTCAGTCCTCTTTTTTTTGTCAGCGCAACTCCTCATAAACTGCTGCACAGAATTTCGTCAAACTTTGCAGGTATTTAGGACACATTGTGTAGATGTGCATATTACCAGGAAATTCCGATTCCATTATTTTTTCCGGGAATTTCCGCACTTTTTAACTTAGGCATTTGGCCATACCTTGAATATAGAGATGAACAGTTTGTCAGCGCAACTCCTCATAAACCGCTGCACAGAATTTCGTCAAACTTTGCAGATATTTAAAACACAATGTGTAGATGTGCATATTACCAGGAAATTCCGATTCCATTATTTTTTCCGGGAATTTCCGCACTTTTTAACTTAGGCATTTGGCCATACCTTGAATATAGAGATGAACAGTTTGTCAGCGCAACTCCTCATAAACTGCTGCACAGAATTTCGTCAAACTTTGCAGGTATTTAGGACACAATGTGTAGATGTGCATATTCCCAAGAAATTCCGATTCCATTATTTTTTCCGGGACTTTCCACACTTTTTAACTTAGGCATTTGGCCATACCTTTTATATAGAGATGAACAGTTTGTCAGCGCAACTCTTCATAAACCGCTGCACAGAATTTCGTCAAACTTTGCAGATATTTAGGACACAATATGTAGATGTGCATATTACCAGGAAATTCCGATTCCATTATTTTTTCCGGGACTTTCCGCACTAAATACTTAGGTTTTTGGCCCATACCTTGAATATAGAGATGAACAGTTTGTCAGCGCAACTCCTCATAAACTGCTGCACAGAATTTCGTTAAACTTTGCAGATATTTAGGACACAATATGTAGATGTGCATATTACCAGGAAATTTCGATTCCATTATTTTTTCCGGGATTTCCCGCACTAAAAACTTAGGTTTTTGGCCATACCTTTTATATAGAGATGAACAGTTTGTCAGCGCAACTCCTCAGAAACCGCTGCACAGAATTTCGTTAAACTTTGCAGATATTTAGGACACAATATGTAGATGTGCATATTACCAGGAAATTCCGATTCCTTTATTTTTCCGGGAATTTCCACACTTTCCAACTTAGACTTTTTGGCCATATTTTGAATATACAGATGAACAGTTTGTCAGCACTACTCCTCTTAAACTGTTGTACATAGTTTCGTCAACCTATGCAGATATTTAGGACATATTCCATTATTTTATCCCAAAGAGTTTCGTCAACCTATGCAGATATTTAGGACATATTCCATTATTTTATCCCAAAGAGTTTTGCCTATTATTCAAGAAAATTTCTCACCCCCCCCCCCCCCCCCCCCCCCAACCACTTCAAATTAATGTTTGGATTTGTATAATGCCAAGAAATTTTGATTCCATTATTTATCTAGAAACTTCATTCCACATTTAAATGTCCTCATATGCAAGACATTTTGATGTGAAGATTTTTTTGCAATTATTGCCGTTTTTGATCTATACTATGTATTTAAAGTGCACTAGCTGTGCCTTTCATTATGTGTTTCACAGTCAAGTTTTTGGGGAGCGTGGGGTATGTGAGCTAGCTCACTTTTTCTTTTTATTACAATACATGAGTTTGATAGAAGCTGGGAGTCTCTGACTTTCTCTCCTAACTTCATAACATTTCCAAACTAGAAAACTGACCAGTCAGCAAGGGCCCCGCCATGGGATAAAATTATAAGGGTGCAACTTACGGAATGATTAAAAAATGTACGAAGAATAACAACAGCAACTGTATTCTTAAAATTTCAAGATAATTCCTGAATATTCAAAAACCTGTAAATAATATCCTTGTATTTACATTAGGCAGTAAAGAACAACTTAACATTGAATATATATTTAAACAATAATGAAGCTTCTCTAATATAAAATGCCAGCCTTCAATGAATGCAAATATCATTAACTTCAAACAAACAGCAGTTGCAGACAAAGGTTTTCATTAATCTTAAAGTGACAGATTAAGAAAATCCTACTAAATTTTCCGCAGCAGGCTGATAATTAATCCCAAGGGATTAATTATACCTCTCTCATCATTTTCTTCTAAAGTTACAATAAGAACTTTTTCAGTATTAATGATAGAATGGGGGTTTTATACAACTACCTTAAAATTAATAATATTCTTGAATTTACATAAAGGGGAAAAAAAAGTAAAATATAAAAATATTTTTTTATCGAAATAAAAAATATATCTTCTTTAATCTATTTCTTGTTTTTAGAATTCTATGAAATCATAACTATTTTAACAAAAATAAAGTATAAACATTTATATTTAAATCAACATTTCAGAGTGTTCATAACATTCCAAATTGACTTAACTTCAAAACAAACTTCATTTGCAGACAGAGGTGGTAATTCATCTCAATGTGACAGATAAAGATAATGCTCTGGATTTTCTTCAGGAGGAAAGCTAATTAATCCCAAGGGACTCATAGCAGCATTCAGTTTACAATGGGAACATCTTCAGCAGTTATCTCTCTTTGCCATTGCATTCTTATATAAAGTTAAGGAATCTACCCCACCACCCCAGCACCAAACCAGGGGACATAGAGAAACAAACTTAGCATCAAAGTATGTCTTTTTGCCAATTGAACTACCATACCAAATTTGATCTTAATTGGGCAACCACAAAAAAAGTTATTAGGAAAAAACAGAAAATTTGTGGACGCAAGAATGACAGACGGACAGACAGAGTGATTACTATAGGGCACCCGCAAATCCTTGCGGGGCCCTAATCAGCAAAACTTGTTATTAGTCGCTGAGAGTGGGTAGTCTTAAAACATTGGGATGAATATTGCTTCCTTGTTTTTAGAGAAATGGGGTGTCAATAGGGAATAATTGACATTTGTTAGAAAAAAAATAGGTCCAATAATTGTAAGCTTCATATTTTTAGATACATGTGTAATTTAAAACATTTTATGAAATTAAGTTAATACAAACACATACACATTACATGTTTATATATAATCAAAAGAAATGCTGGAAATGAGAAAAGGTACATCACTGTTTTTTTGTTTTAAAAAAAAAAAGGAATCTCTTGTTTACACCTGCAGTGACACATAAAGGGATTACACTTGTACAGCTGTACTATCCAAATGTACATATTCATTAGTGAGTTCAATAACCAGTCTTGATCAAATTTCTGATGGTGCATTGGATTTGACTATAGTTCATTGCATTGCCAGCACTCAGCTTTCCACTCTCATAGATCTCCCATCTACCTTGACTGTTTCTTGAGACAGAGCACATTATGACGGCCTGGGAATGCCCTGCGTGTGTAAAGGTTGTTTTACAGAGGTTCTTTTGTATATTGCTGGCTTCATAAAATTTCAGGCTAGGATTAGGGTATCTTGAAATGTTAGGGCTGTTCCAAGCACTCAGGGTGAAGAATAAATGAGTGGCATTACTGGGGAGTTGTTTTAAATAAACATGTATTGTGTGATGACCAATTCTTTTTATACTATCCATCACATCTCCAGAGTGTGTTACTCCTTGGACTTGACGATTGCGAAAATCTATTAATTTCAAAAACTGTGTATTCTGATACATAAGACATGAAGCATCCAAATAATCAGGACCAGAGGTAGGATAACCCCAGTAAAGATCAAACACCACATGATCAAAGGCCTCAGGAATGGCATACAGCAGGACCACAAGGTAAAGTGTAGCATAAGGAGGAATATTGTAGTCTGAAAGTGTGCAGGATTGACCACTTGGTTTGAATATCTGCAAAAAAAAAAAAAAAAAAAAGAACATGAATAGTCTCTTTTTAGCTCACCTGATTCTAATGCTTCTGATCACAGCATTTTGTCTATGTCCATCTGTATGTAAATTAAACTGTATAACTTTTAACTCCAGAACCATGCACTGGACCATTTTCAACCTAAATTCATTTCTTGGTTAATTGGGATTGAAGTTTGTACAACTGAAGAACTACTTCTTCTTTTAATAGGAGATAACAGAAAATAAGTAAACCAACGCAGAGCAAACTAGAGCATCCCCTTGCAAAAGAGCACATTGATCCTAATGTGAATTACTATTTGCATATATTAATTTCGTTATGGTGTAATGCACTCATAATTTACCCCCTTTCCCACCCAACACAGGTGTGTTACTTTATCCCCCAAACTTCATTGGGAGGATAAAAAGTTTTTTGAAGGGAAACACTTTTTTTAGTTTTCACACAGTTATCTTTTCTGGCCCAGCGGATCTTGAGAAGAAGCTTTTTAATGACCACAATCAATTTTTCGTTAATTATCTCCCCGCTTGGGAGAGGGTGTTACCCTTCAAGAAAACTTAACTCCGTTTCACCCAATGGTACTCTGTGTTAAGTTTGATTGAAATTGGCACAATGGTTCTGGAGAAGAAGATGAAATTGCAAAAGTTTAATAAAACAATTAACAGCAACAATAACAATACATGTACAATGAGAGAAGCTGAGCCTTCAGCTCAGGTGATCTTATACATGTTAGTCTAACACAAAGTGAATTATTACCTGAACTTCCTTATCTTCATATAACAGCTTCTGCTTATTAGCAGGAATTTTCAGCTTGCTATTGATATGAATCTGTACTTCTGATAATGTCATAGAAGGTGAGTAAGGAATTTGTGCAGCATCTCCATTCAGAACAGTGACATTTAATATTTCTTTTCCAGAAGTTTTAGGAGCTGGTGGAGTGTACGTTGCTTCATATTCTCTAAACATTTCTTCAAGAATAGCATTGAACCACTGAATTGTAGGACTGTTAGGAGAGACAGGAATGGAACATCCCGGGTGAGGGCATTGGTGCTTCTTCTTGCAAAAATCTACCACACACTAAAAATATGAAGATGTATACATGTATATATGAAGGAAAAGGCATGTACATCAGATACCATTGTCTTTGCATTAATTAACACTCACAGCTACCTGAATTTTATTAAATCAAGCCAAATGTCAAAAAGAAACATTTTTGTTTAACTAAATAATTCAACCAACAAAATTAAGAGCCATTCTCTGTAATGACTTGAACTTTTATATAGGAGCTGTGGCACGCATAGTCTCAGAATTTCTCCAAACTCTGTATGATAAAAGTCATTGATACCTTAAACTGAAATCAGGCAAAAATTGGTTGCTATGTTGTATAGTTACCATGGCAACATGTCTTAAATTTCGAAAAATGGCATTTTTTAACATGTTTAGAACCCCCTAGTTAACATTTGCGGCAAAGCAAACAATTGGCAATGACTGTTTCCAAAAGTTGAAGGTCAGATGTCTCAAATGCATGATAAACATGTTTGGTAAATCAACTATTACATACGTTACTATGGTAACAAAGTATTCAAAAGTAAAAAAAAAATATTCATTGAATTATATAAAGTCATACACGTAAAAATAAAAAACAATTATAGGATGAAATGTGACCAAATAATAGAAAAAAGAGCCTTGAAACATATACCAAGAACAAAATATGATATTTCATTTTGGTTGGCAATGGTTGTCAAGGTTTTTACACCACAGAGAGCCTTCAAAGTAACACTCTGTTTGTTTAAATCTGAACCTATCTTTTAAAAAAGCACATTTCCTCATATCTAATGATCAATTTTTAAAGATGTTGGTGTGCTCCTAGTTTTCCCATTTGAAAAAATTCAGATTAGATTCTTTAAATAGAGCGTTGCTATGGAGATAAGCAGAAAATATATGCTTAAAAACCTGAAAAATATTTTCTTTCCTTGGATACGTACCCTTATATGTAGATTCCCAAAACTTTTATGATTGATATTTATTAACAGCTAACCTGACTTTTAATTTTGACTATCATCCAATCTCTAAATGGATGCAAGAAGTTGGCACACAGGGTTTAATATTGATATAAAGTTCACAAAATTGAACATTTTCCCTTCTTGGTTACCATAGCAACAGTGTTGTTTTCTTCATCAACTTTTATCAATATATGATATTCAACTTCAGTTCTAACAGATAAGTACTATTCAAGCTGAATCCTTTAATTTGTTTCTTGATTATATCGCAGTTTAATTCTTAATGCAGTGAAAAATAATTCACTTTTAAGCACTGGTACTTAATTTCCATGGTAACACTGCAAAGTAGCAATTTTACCCAATTTTTCTTATGGTTATGGTGTTGCAAGGTCCTAAGGATGCATATTTGCCAGTCTTGAATTTTCATGTTTTTCCTCAAGACAGTAGCATTAACCCAATCTTAGTTACTGGTTTTGCATAGTTACACTGTGTTACCATGGCAACCATAAAATTTATTTATAGAAAAAATTGCTTATACTTGTATACTTAAGATCAAACATTTTCATTGTTTTTCTTAAGTCGATGATTGAGTTTTAGCATGTAACACCTACCATTAGTGAATATGGAGTGCTTTTCAACATATTTCAGCATTTTAAATGTATTCCAAATGTACCCTTGGTTACCACTTACTTAGAGATATATTCTAAACAGTTTCTTTACAGTATAAGTGACATCAAGGTGTCATGTTTTTGTTAGAATGGTTTGTTTGCTTTTTCTAGTTTTTATTAGGCCACAGTCAGGATTTAAAGTGGCTGAAAATCTCGATTTTTCAAATTTTTCCGGCTGTTGCCATAGCAACCGAGACACTTAGCAACGAAATTTTGTTTGATATTTGTTTCTGGTGTCAAGTACTAGGCATGGGTGAAGTTTCATCAAAATCGGTGACCATGCGTGGCAACGAAGTTTAAGTGGTTACAGAGAATGGCTATTAAAAACAACTGAAAATTAAGTTGCCAAAATCAAAAACGTTATTTTGTATATCATTATGTGTATGTGCGGGGGGGGGGGGTTACCACCAGTCATGGCATATTTTTGTGAGCTTCCCAGTGGAAGATAGATAATTTAAAGAACAAGTTTCAATTTCATCCCATTCCGATAATATTTGACGGAAATTACATTTTTTTTATTTATTAGGGGAACCAGATTAAGGAATGGGGCTGGTATTACTTATAAAACAGTAATCCATCACTATCTAAACACAATGTATGAATTTAAAAACAAAGCATAAAACAGAGAAATTCTAGACTAGAGGTGGGATCAGTTTCTAAGGAGCGATAACCATCCTATGACTGCATGGTCAAATCACAGGGGGGCGGTAACATACTACATTTAATTTTACGTAATCACTATATACTAGTATACAAAAGGGCCTCGGTTGAAATTGTTGTTGAAATACCGGTATCTGTCATACATTCCGACGAATGTAAACGAGTGTATCAATCGTCAATTCAGTGTATAAATAATTTAATGGACTAACAATTTGTATGAACAATGTCGGTCAGCATTTGACTCAATGATAAATTGTATTTGCTGACAAGGTCATTGTATCGACCCACAGGAGTTTGCGTACCTATCAATTTTACCGAAATTTTTAGTACAGGAAAAAATACGTCATACCTTTAATAATAACACATAATGTCATAAAGGTATGACGTATTTTTTCGTTTACTAAAAATTTCGGTAAAATTGATAGGTACGCGAACTCCTGTGGGTCGATACAATGACCTTGTCAGCAAATAAAACTCCTGTGATCGACCATCGCCGAAACCCATGGGTGACCTGAGCCTGATCTCACCCGTGGGTTTCCGGCGATGGTGATCGACCAAAGAGCTTACTAAATGATAACTTTAAAGGAGACTGCTGATATTCTTGTTTCATCAACTTGTTAGTCAATAAATTACCTCGTTTTAGAAATTGTTCATATACGTAGAGCATGCTCTTGCGTATCGAATCAACTGACATACTAGTATATAAACGCCATGTGCAGGTGACGAAGGTATAATGCTGCATAAGTAAGGGAAATTGACGATAGAAAAGTTAAAGTCACAACGTTTAGACCCAAAATAAAATTAAGTTTGTTTGCAGTTGTAAAATATCCCACTGGAAATGCACCCGTATCCCAAAATGGAAATTTTTTTTTTAGCCATTTGGTATTTTTTTTTTTTTTTTTTTTTAATTTTTCAGAATATTGAAACAGTTTCATTTTCAAATTTTGACACGTTTTTTTTTTATCAGTGGAAAACCAGTGGTTTATAACAAGAGGTGATCTTTTTCATGTCAACTAGAATACTGTACTTGTGTGTGAAAATGTCTTTTAATTGTTATTTAACAAAAATCTGAATTTTTTTTTTAATTTTAAAAAAAAAAAAAAAGAATGCCTACCTATAGTATTAAGTCTAAAAATTATAGGTCGGCAACAGCAATCAAAGAATTTTTTAAGCTTGGCCTTATCACAGAGATCTGTTGTATTACCATTAACGTCTTTTTCAAGTAAAATATCCAACTGAACAGATGTATCGTATCGACATAGGAATGGAAATTACCATTGTTGAGTGTAGGGCCACAGCAAGTGTTTTCTTCTTTTCACGCATAAGATTTTGCACAAATTCTGCTTCATATGAATACAAATGTAGGTCTGCGGATAACGGAGTGCAATTGGTACCCATGGGAATTCCAATAGATTGTTGGAAGACCTGGAAAACCACATAGATATTGTCAATCAGAAACTAAAGCATCTTTTTTATGACAACTTCAGAGTACTGTACTTGTGTGTGCAATCAGAATGTGTTTTAACAAAATAATGACATTTTTAAAACGTGTTATTTCAGCGAATTTTTATTTTTATTTTAATGAGGGTATTCAGACACACGTAGAAAAACACATATAATACACTTAATAGTATTAAGTGTGTTATATGTGTTAATACACAATCTTGAAACCAAGCGCCTATGGTTTAAAACAGATATATGATTGTTAGGCCTATATTACATTTGAATAAAATTCTTTTAATAATAATACTTTATTAAATATTTTTAAATGACCTCTAGAATTCAATGTGTTTCAAATTAATTAAGATTTTATTAGGACCTAATTGCTTAATTATGAACCTTTTCTTTTGCTAGAAAACCAGAATTTTATGTAGTCTCAGGATTGAGCGATAGGATTATCAGATCGGGTTCGGTAATCAAACACTTCCTGTGGCACATTCTCTTCTCCTGGATAGTGACTTTGTGTCGCTGCAGAAAGGTGATATCAAAATACATTAATCCATAGCTTTAATAACAGTGCATTTCGTTTTATCAGAAATCAATCATAATGATGGCTGAATAGGAGTACACTCATGGGTTAAGGAAATGTATTTTGGGTTGGATTGTAATTCGCCATGACAGAAAATTTGCCTCGGGGGAACTTCGGTCCCATTCCTTCATCCCTCCCGGCCGTTTCATGGTTTGAATTTCTTTTAAATGAAGACCTCCTTGAGAAGCATTTGCATCAAGAAAATCCAGGTATGTCAAAGATAAGGTATAACGAGTTACGTGCCTTCAATGCGTGGATCTGTATACATATTTTTATCATAGCATGTCAGGATGATAAACTTTAAAAAATACCAAAAGATATTAGTGCTATAGATTCTACATTGTTCTAGTCAGTTTAACAAGAGTTTGTCATTGATTTGCAATGAATGAAACAGGCAGAGATGAAAATTGCAAAGGAAAGCACCATGTTAAAAAACTTTTTTTATATATTACTATTGTGTGAATTCAATATTTCTATTGATACATTCAATTAAATGCTGTAGAAAGTATTAGTATAATAATCAATTATACATTACATGAATGTAACTTAAGCCTAATAGGTTACTCTTTGTTTCTTAACCTTCTAATCATGTACAGACTGACAACTTTTATAGTTCTGTAAGAAAAGTAATTAAAAAGGGACTTAAAGTAAAACCACAGAAAATCTGTAAATTGCATGCCATGATTGCCATCAGCCATTAATGTCTATGTGATCTGTACACCAAAACAAAAAAAATTAGTGCTCTTTGAAGCCCTTTTTGGGGAAAAAAATCAGTTGTACATCATCAGTGGCACTAGCTGCAGATCCATAGCTGGCTGGTCTTCAAAAAAAAAAAATGGGATGGATGACCACAGAGTTAATTTAAAGTGCCGACCATAGCAAAAACTGTATATTTATTGCACACAAAAAGTTGAGCTTGGTTCTGGATTTATTTCTCCAAAGTTGTACTTCTATTGCAAAAAATAAAGCACATAAATTTTGACCAGTTCTTTACTTCTTTATCAAGTACACTCATAGTTGACATCTGCACAAAGCGCGTTGGATCAAATTATCTTGCAGACCAAAATGACAGTATAAATAGGTGAAATTTTCTATGACCCCAATTTCAGGGCCAGGAGGGCTATTCCAAGATGATCTTTGTGAGTTAACCTAGAATGGCTGTTTTTTTATGAATATGTACTGAATGAGAGCTGGCAAAAAACTATCGATTCAAAGATTGAGATTTAAATTCATAAAGAGAAAAAAATATTTAAGGTATCACTGTTTTGAGGTATCAAAGTTCAGCTGTTTTTTTTTTCAGACCCCTCCCCTGTACAGTTAATTGTTCAGTTCCTACAACAAGCTGATGCCCATGTGGTCAAAGAACCCCTGCCCCCCATTCCTACAGGAGAGAATGGCAGCATTGAACCACAGGGTAAGACAGTCTGATTAGGATCTTCTTTGAATTCCATCTATTATTCTTGACATTCTTTTGTCATTTCATCTGTGATATAGCTGAATTTTACAACTCTAAGAAAGTTTTCATTGATTTCCAGATACATATGCTTAATATATTGTAAACAGAGATTTAAGAAATGTTTTGTTTCAAAAGATCAAAGACCCTAAGCATAAATGCTAAGTGACATCTCTCCTGTATAATACTTACAACTTGCTAAATGATCACACTTTGTGTTACATGAATCTTGTGTAAAACTCTATTGATACCCAATTTTATTGCTCTAAGTAGTGACCTAGCTGTCCTTGCAGAAATCTGGCCTATCATGTTTAGACTCAAAGTTGCTAGACTTGTTATTGAGTTTTTAATTTTCATGAGCATAATAATCATTTCATCTTGGCTCAGATGAAGAAATATTTTTATTTGTATATATATCATTATATGCATAGCAAGATACAATGTCATAAGTGTTATGTGTAGTTTCTGACTTTTTGTTCATTATAAGCAGTGGAAACTCTAGCATGATGAAGTGGAAACTTGAAATTTTTCATTTGTACCAGGGTTTTAAACTAACTTGTAATCTTTGATCGCCATGTGGGCTACTAAACCTTGCAATTCTGGGGCCCACATCAAAATTTATTCGCCCACAAATTATCACACCTTCTGTTGAATAAATATACAACAACCCCATTTTTCGTTATTTTTTTTTTATCATATGACTCGTGTTTCTTTTCTATCCGTAGAAACATTGTGCATGACTTATCTTAATTTCAAATTTTCCTCTTTTGTTTAAAAAGATTGAAATGGTTATTAAACATCATATATTCAAGCACATGGCAGATTTCTTCACAGACACAACCAAGATACGTTTTGATTTGTTGGGCTCATTGACGCGTCAATGTCACATTCGTCGTCACAATCACTCAGACGCTTTATGTTTAAGTACTTCTCACTGGTAAATATAAAGCACTTTGCTGATTACGAAAATTTCAAGAGAAAAAAAGGAACATTCGGACAAAATTAAAAAACAAATATTTATCAACGTAAATTTTCTAATCGCCATGTGGGCTACTTGAACATAATTTTAAGTCGCCCACAAGGAATATTGGTCGCAAATGGCGAGTGGGCGACTGTTAATTTCAAACCCTGAGATTGCATTGATTTTAGTGGTTTTGGCCCCACCCCTCAGGCCCCAGGGGGGCAGGAACCATGAAATTCAAAAATTTTGTTTCCCTTCACCAATAGATGCTGTATACCAAATTTAGTTGAAATTGGTTCAGTGGTTCCAGAGAAGAAGCTAAAAATGTTTAAAAGTTTATGACCGACATACGATGGACGACGATGGATGAAAAGAGATAGTAATAGGTCACCTGAGTTTACACAGGTGACATAAAAATGAAAAATTTGACTTTAGATTCTAATACTTTTTATACCATATCAATGTGTCATCTTCTTTTTTGATCTAAACACAATGTATTGTCAAAATTAGCAGATTAATGTTGTTTTCATGGCTAACTGAGGCTGTTCCATGGACCTCCCCAAACATGTACACTGCAATTTTACTGAAAAAGCAATTTCTAGGGATGGGTATTGCCAAAAATTTCGTATCGCGATATATTACAATTTTTTCCCACAATATCACGATAATATCATGATATTTTAAAAGCAGTTTTTACAATGATTTTATATGAAAAGTTTTTCTAAAAAAATGCTAGAAAAACAAAATTTTACTTTCTTGAAATTTTTATCATGTTTATGTAAATAAAATCAATTATGTTTGGACGGTAAGATGCCGTTCCATTCACTTTTTACAACATTTTTTATACTTTATGTCATTGTAATTTGAAAGATTAAACAAACTAGAGCAAAGCTCGTTGCAAAGCAACGAGTAGGTCTTTCGTCCTGTTTGACCGGAAGTAACTTTTATTTATTTAAAAAAAAAAAAGAAAAAGAAAAATGACGTCTCTAATGATTTAAATCTTCCAAGTCTATGTTGAAAATTGCGAAAGTAAGCCATTTTTTGCTACTTCCTGTTTGACCTGAAGTGACGTCGACGGACGGTAAATTAAGTTTCATGCTTACAGTGACAAATATTTCCCCAAAACATGTCAAAACGGCAAAAATTTGCAGTTTCGGACTACTTCCGGTTTGGTCGGAAGTGACGTCACAGGACTTATTTTGATGACATCAGTAGATTTTTACGAGAGATTTTCAACAACTTTGCTTCTTTGATGCATAAAAATTCTCAATACTTTTTGAGATTTCTGGAAAAAACTTTTGGCCCCATTAGATCCCTTAATTTAGGGGTCAGCCCTTTTTCCGAGATATCATTTGAAAGATCTTATAATTCTGCACATATTATGTTTTATATATTTTAACAAAATATTTTTAGCTTAGAAGATAAAAAGCAAAATATGAGAAATTTTTGGCTCTTTTAAGCGTTCTAATTTTTGACCCCTATATAGCACCATTTTGAATAGAGAACTCGAAAAACAAAAAACGATGTGCACAACTTCAATCCTTCTATTATCTAAAATCAGTAGAATTTCTGCTCCAGCTTTAGCCATCTCTGAGCCTTTCTCTGGAAACGAAAGCCTATAAATTTTCGTTTAAAGGAAAATAACTCGAAACCGGAAGTGACTTTTTGAAATTTTCGACAGCATTCTGATAGAATTTAGTGACTGCTAGTACCTCTGAAAATTTGAGCGAAATCAATTGAGAAATGAGTGAAATATGAGGCTTCAAAGTTGGCGTCTAGGAAGTAGAAGAAAAAAACAAAAAAAAAATCTTTACAAACAGAATCAGTAGAAGGTCTTCCGTTGGAAATGGAAGACCTTAACGTCAAATGAATAATTTCTCGACTTTATAATATGTAATGTACCTAAAGTCTCCATATCACGATACATATCACGCAACAAAAAATCACGATATACCGGTATACCGATAAAATCGCACATCCCTAGCAATTTCACTGCCCACAACATGGCATGGCACCAGTATGATTCAAGAAAATGTGATAGACCTGACTAGGATTTGAGACAAGGCCATCTCAATCATCTCATCCCGATTGATTTAATACCATATGGTAGAAAACTATTGAATTAGTTTCCAATGCATAATTTTGTCAAGACCGTATACTTTACTTGACCCACAGAATGAATATTTAGACAAGAACAAAATAGCTCAATCACCTGACAGTGTGTGGTGCAGTGGTAGGAGCATTTGCTGTACAGTTTGGGAGTGAGGAGTTGGTCCTTACATTGTGGGTTCAATTTCCACTTGAGACAAACCAATCCTCTGGAGGAGACTTTATAAACTAAGTTCTGTGTCCTATTGTCACCAACATCAAGCAGTGGTTAGAGCGTCTCGTCTAGAGCCGCGAAGTCAGGAGCGCTGTTTCGAATCCCACTGTGGGGCATGGAGACCAGTCCTTCAGATAAGAGCGTATAAAGAAAGGTCCAGTGTTGCAGTAAGTGCAGGAAAAAGAACTCTCACTGCTCAATGATCCTGAGTGTCGAGTATAGGTCAAAATTTGTAGCTCTCCACCGGCAAGTGGTGGTGTCTCAATATGAGTGAAAATTATCAAGAGGGACGTTAAAAATCATAGAAATTTATCAATCATTCTGTGTCCTATTAGGTGCAGGCACAAAAAAACCTTACAGTACACTGCTCAAAGTCCCAATGTTTCACAAGGGGCAGTCTCAATATGTGTAAAAAAAAAAATGCTACACAAAAACACTGACAAAAAGTATGATTAACTTATATAATTCTCTGGAGCAAGAACAAACTTAATAAGGCCTAAAAAAAAATATGTGTGTTTCCGCTTTCCCGACCGACCCTAATTTATAGTGCCGACCCTAAACATTTTTTAAATGCTTTTGTCCCATGAAGTGCATTTAGATTTCACCTAGGGAATTAGAGTCTCCAACTTTGCAAGCTTTTCAAGACAGAAAGAAGTTTGGATCACCTTTCTTTTATAAGTTTAAGTCACAGAAATGCTTGAAACCACCATTTCTTTTGTCATTAATATTACTTCTATACACGTTTTGATTAAACAAGCAAAAAAAAATTTTCAAAAAAAAAAATAACTGCCTACCTACCTACCCTATATTTTTTCAGCCTGAAAGCGGAAACAAACATATTTTTTTTCTAGGCCTAAGATCAAACACAAAAGTTGCATGTCTAAAAGATAATGTGCAATCTCTAATCATTTTATACAGTACTTATAGTTTCTTGTTTCACTTCATAGGTTCTCTTTATATGCAGTCAGCTCACCTCACAATTGCCTGCTTTTGTTAAACATTTTTTTAAAATTTGTAACTTACCCTCAGACATGTAAGAGGAGGATGATCACATTTTTCTGAGGCAGTGGTAGGAGGAAATTCATTGGAAAGTTTCTCAACCCCACAAAGTTTACAAGATGCCATAGTTCTTCAAAAATACCAAAAATAAAAAATGATTTAATATTAGGAATTCTTTTAATAATTTTTTTCTTCAAATAAATACACAATTTGATTTCTCAATATTATTTGTGATGTGAAAGATAGAATTCAAAGATCATTTGAACATGGAACTAGAAATATGTCCAGAGAACATGTATGCCCCACCTAATGTACATGTATGTAACTTAGCTCTGACCATAAAATCACTAGTCCTGACTATATATATCCTTGCAAATTTACTTTTTATAGTCAAGTTTTATAGCTAATTTAAATGAAGTAACTTTTAAAAACATACTTGAAAGATTTTTGATGATGATAATTTGCTTAGATGCTGAAGGTGTTAATATGCATATCAAAATTATCACGCATCACAAAACCCCCAAACCTGACAGTTTATACATTTACATGATTCCGTAAAACTCACGAGCTAGATCCATCCCCGTTCCTCCCTCTGCCCCTTTTAAGACCATGTCATTATACCCCATAATTAGAGATGGGGATGTCCGTCCGTCTGTCCACTATGCTTTGGGGTGCCTAATCTCTTATCCGTAACTCCTCTGACTTAAGCAGGAGGAATGTCCAACCATAAATTGTACAATTATTGGAAACAAATAACATTTTCCCTAGAACACTAGTCTGATTAGGTGTAATAAGGGTTAAAACATTATTGAACTTGACAATCAAATAGATTTCTCCATTGTAAATACATGAAAGAGGAAATAAATTAGTATTTTATTCATTTTGTATTAATTTTGATCGGGTTAGGTCCAAATATAAAAAAATCAATTTCTCAAAAAATTATCACTTTCATTTCAATTTCTTTTTAACATTGTTTAAAATATGATTGACAAACAGGTTCTCCTCAGTTGTGACTAGTTTTATTGTGTTTTTAACCATAGGGATTAGGTTTAAAAATATTCATAAATAATTTGTTTTATTTTCATAAATAATTTTTTATAAAAACAAGAGGCCCATGGGCCACATCGCTCACCTGAGCACTGCGGCTAGGCAAAGTATGAATTGGTTTATTATTGAAAAGGTAAGATCCAAAAGTAGTCCCATGAACAATCATGGATTTTCTATCTTAGAGAAGAAGATTTTTAAAGAATTTTTCTATATATTTCTATGTAAAACTTTGGTCGGCCATTTTGGCCCCGCCCTATCCCCGGGGGTCATGATTTGAACAAACTTGAATCTACACTACCTGAGGATGCTTCCAAATAAATATGATGAATTATGGCTTGGTCATTCTTGAGAAGAAGATTTTTAAAGAATTTTCCTATATATTTCTATGTAAAACTTTGGTCGGCCATTTTGGCCCCGCCCTACCCCCGGGGGTCGTGATTTGAACAAACTTGAATCTACACTACCTGAGGATGCTTCCATATAAATATGATGAATTATGGCTTGGTCATTCTTAAGAAGAAGATTTTTAAAGAATTTTCCAATATATTTCTATGTAAAACTTAGGTCAGCCATTTTGGCCCTGCCCTACCCCCGGGGGTCATGATGTGAACAAACTTGAATCTACACTACCTGAGGATGCTTCCATTTAAATATGATGAATTATGGCTTGGTCATTCTTGAGAAGAAGATTTTTAAAGAATTTTCCTATATATTTCTATGTAAAACTTTGGTCGGCCATTTTGGCCCCGCCCTACCCCCGGGGGTCATGATTTGAACAAACTTGAATCTACACTACCTGAGGATGCTTTTAAATAAATATGATGAATTATGGCTTGGTCATTCTTGAGAAGAAGATTTTTAAAGAATTTTCCTACATATTTCTATGTAAAACTTTGGTCGGCCATCTTGGCCCCGCCCTACCCCCGGGGGTCATGATTTGAACAAACTTGAATCTACACTACCCGAGGATGCTTCCATATAAATATGATGAATTATGGCTTGGTCATTCTTAAGAAGAAGATTTTTAAAGAATTTTCCTATATATTTCTATGTAAAACTTTGGTCGGCCATTTTGGCCCCACCCTACCCCTAGGGGTCATGATTTGAACAAACTTGAATCTACACTACCTGAGGATGCTTCCATATAAATATGATGAATTATATATGGCTTGGTCATTCTTGAGAAGAAGATTTTTAAAGAATTTTCCTATATATTTCTATGTAAAACTTTGGTCGGCCATTTTGGCCCCGCCCTACCCCCGGGGGTCATGATTTGAACAAACTTGAATCTACACTACCTGAGGATGATTCCCCATAAGTTTCATCTTTCCTGGCACAGTGGTTCTTGAGAAGAAGATTTTTAAAACATGCCACCAAATTTTCATTAATTGCCAATTATCTCCCCTTGAATGAGGGCGTGGCCCTTCATTTGAACAAACTTGAATCCCCTTCACCCAAGGATGCTTTGTGGGAAGTTTGGTTGAAATTGGCCCAGCTGTTCTTGAGAAGAAGTCGAAAATGTGAAAAGTTTACAGACAGACAGACGGACGCCGGACAAAATGTGATCAGAAAAGCTCACTTGAGCCTTCTGCTCAGGTGAGCTAAAAATTTAAAAGTCTAACCAGCCTTTCTTTACATATTTTATAATTCATATGATGCATTCATTTAAAGCATAGGCAATAGTTCATATTGAATTACGAACCCCCATCTCTGCAAATAATTCTTATACAATGATAAAAATCCTCAGGTATAAACTTTTCATCCATCTTATATTTTTAAATAATTCTTTTCTCTCCAATTCGGCATTTTTCTGTCGTTTAATTTTGTAATCACTGAAGTCCCCGAATTCCAATGTCCAAAACGGGCGGACAGAAAATTATTTGACAGCTCTAAAAATCGCAGGGATATGTGTTGGTGTGCCATTCCTCCTTAAATATAACACTGAATGAAATTTAACAATACACCCCGCCCTCTCCCCCACTTGAAAAGTGGAAGGTATATAGTGATATATGTCCTTCTGTACATCCATCTGTCTGTCCGTCCGTTACGCTTTGAAGTACCCATCAAATCTCTTATGGGTCAAAGGGTCAAGGTTAAAGGAAAGGTCGAGGTAAAAAAGATTGATGCAGTTAAAATTGAAAAATATACACATGTATGTATCATCATATAAAGTTAGAATAATAAACTACCGGTATCTATTAATAAACACAAATCAACACTGTTAGTTAAATGTTTTTAAAAACTAATTCAAGGAAAGTGAGGTCAAGGCAGAGACAATATATAAAACCATGTTTTATACGTCTCTGGTCAAGGTCAAAGGAGAGGTAAAAATGTTAATAAATAGCTCTCATCAATATCTATCACTAGAATATAAAATTTATAAAACTATCTTTTTCAGTAGGCCCTAGTTTCTAAATGAAACTCAGAGCTCAAGGCAAAACGAGACGAAAGGACAGAGGCACAGAAGACGAACAAATGTCTCTGCACTTACCTTTTCTTCTCTTCTCAGATATATTTCTGTTTGGATAAATAATTGGAACTATCATAAAGTGAAAATAGGATTTCAGCGAAGTCTCATTATTTCGTGACTAAGCTCAACAGGATTTTCTAAAACTCAACTTTTACTTTCGATTTAAATTCGCGGAAAAAATATGGGCGATTCTACAACTAAGAAAAGGGTATTCATTGGTTATTGTTTTTTTAATTTGCAGAATAAAAAATAGAAATGAAGAAAAGTTTACAGTGTATTTTAAACAAAATTTGTATAAGATATTGTAAGAACTGAAACTTTGATTAACATCTCTTAAATTAGCCATATTTTTGATAGTACATTTGTATCATTCCCCTTCCGAAGTCGAAATAGGATCTTCTTCAGACATCTCACATGATACAGCAAAAAGGCAAGGGAGGAAGCAGGGTAAGAGGAAGCAGGGGTAAGGAGACATGAGACCTATCAGATTGTTTGTCAAATTATTTGTCAAATTATTTCGTTTGTTAGTCTGGCCGAAGTCCTCTGGTTGTGGCTGGGACTTGTCATTATTTTTCTTATTTCTTCAAAGTATAAGTCTGCAGCATATAGGCGTCGAACTCGAAAGCAAATTGAAAGGGGTGGCTAATATTGAAAAGGGGGCCCAATTTTCAATACCTATATTATGTATATATCTTTGCTAAAAAGTAGGGTGGTAAGCCCCTCCCTCTCTCCCCGGTTCCAACGCCTATGTGCAGACAGCCTGGACATATGCTGTAAGTTGACAATATGTCAGGCACAATCTTTTGATTAAGCTATACTGTAATATCATAAATATGTTTTACGGTGTGACCGTCGGGGCGAGCGCAGTTGTACTATCAAAAACACTTGAAAAATTGATCAGCCACTTCAAACATCAAGCCGCACGAGACATTTTGACTAGCTGTGACGTCACACGACGTCACGGAGCTCGTCGGAGCTTTGCGTTACGGAGACAGCCGAGCGTCTGGTTGAAACTATAGACCTAGTGCAATTTTGGTCGAAAAACATTGCCAAGTTAATTTTTGTTTCTTTGTAAGATTTCTACAAACTGAAAGCCTTTTATGCTTTATATGTTATTTATTCGCGCAAAGAATATTGGGTAGTAAAGGAATTCTGGGAATGTTTCACAACAAAATTTGCCTGACGTATGTACAGATTTCATTCAAAATTTCCTCTGTTCTTACACGTTAGTCTATTGAGACGCTCGCTGCGCTCGCTGTAAGTAGAATTTTTAGTGAGGATTTAATTTGACATTATTAGCGAGGGTGCCAAGATTGCTAAAATTAAATATCGCTAAAAATTAGTTGCGTTTTATTTGTAATAGTTTCTTTAATGTGCATTTTAAAATAGCTAAAATAACATCTAGCTAAAAATGAATTATCGGTTTTTAAGGACAAATCGCTAAATTTGCGTCTCGCTAAAATTTCTACTTATATGGTATATCTTGATTTAGCTATAAAGCTTTATCAAGCTTATTATTTAGCTATATATTTTATCACACTTTTTATGCCCCCCTTCAAAGAAGGGAGGGCATATTGCTTAAATTGCTGCTGTCTGTCGGTCGATCGGTAAGTCGGTCTGTCGGTCCATTTAGTTTCTGTTCATTTTTTTCACAACCGTTGCACATACTGAAATGAAATTTGGTATACAGGTATATCAGATGAATATCTAGGTCAAGTTTTGTTTTGGGTATGATTATGCTATTTTTGACAGAGTTATGCCCCTTGGACTTAAAAAAAATTCTAATTATTTGCAGTTTCTGTTCATTTTCTTCAGAGAGGTTGCATATACTGAAATGAAATTTAGTATACAGATTTTTCAGATGAATATCTAGGTCAAGTTCTGTTTTGGATACGATCACACCATTTTTAACAGAGTTATACCTCTTGGACTTGCAATATGCAATATTTATATACTGTTGTTTTATGCTTCCTTTTACTTAATCTAGTAAAATAATGTACGTGCAAAATGGCTTGAAGAAGTAAATTTAATTAATTTAACTGTTAAAAATGATTTTACAAACTATCAGTTAATTCACAAAAATTTATGATTTTGTACAAACTATACAGAGGAGTTTGTTTTTACCTTTAAGCCAAAGCCAACTGAATGACGATCCTGACTGTTAAATGAACCAAAACGAAAATAAATATTTTGTACCATGTATCAAACTGAGAAAAGATACTGCGGTAAATTGTTTCACTCCTAGCTACAAAATGTCCAAACTGCATATTAATCAGGTCCAACACAATCTCTTGTCAGTCTTGATTAAGCTTGAAATAGTTCTTGTTATTTAATATGTCATTAAAATAAAATATTTAAATTTGACAATATCTGTGTGTTTGTTAATTTTAGATAGAACCAAAGTATGTCCTTGTAAGCTGGCAATACAAGGGGAAGTAATTCAAAAAGATGATATAAATAATTTCTCTTCTAAAACATTTACTGGTGATTATACTGTAGCTTCATCACCATGTCTCGAAGAAAAGCGTCACGTGACACGTCTTAAAAAATCTCAATTGAGCAATAGTACAAAGTTGTCATAATACTTGTTAAAAAAATTACAGGTAAACTTCGGTATCTCAACATCGGATATGTTGACAACCTGGGGTATGTCGACCTCCGTCCGCGGTCCCACAGCATTATTTACTATATAAATGATTTGCAAAAACTCTGATATGTCGACCTTGGTAATGTCGACAACCCCGCTTATCTCGACATATTTCAAAGTCCCAAGAGCAAAATTTACCTGGAATATGTCGACATCGGTGCAATTTTCTGTTCTGCTTAACCTAATTGTTTTTCAGCTGGTCGCTTGTCACGCACGGACGACTCTGTGTATCTCGACATTGTCAGAAATTCACACCTTGGCTTTCACACCCATGCTTTGACTACAATTATAATACTGCTCTGTAAAAATGTGTTTGTAGAGGAATCCCAAGCCCCCTTAGCATCTCTAATACGTTGATTGTTTAATGTTCAGGCTTGGGTAATTATCATTGATAAATCTTCTCAATTCTGCGTTAATGTACAACCGTTTAATTGTGTCGAAATCTAACAAAACTTAAAACATTTTATTTAAAAAAAAAGTAACTGAATAACAATGTACACACTGAATTCAATTTACCTTAAAAATTGTGATAAAAATGCATTCAACATGAATCAATCAAACTTATGACTAGTGTTGAATAATCGGGAAAATTTCATAATTGATAATCGGTCAAAATCGGAGAAGCTTAATCGATCAATCATCGACTTAATTGGTAATTCAAATTTCAAATACAAAATTCCATTTCCTTATAGCATTTATCATTTATGGAAAAAACTAAAAATAAAATTTTATCAAGTTTATTCTAAAGACAACTTTTTGTTGTATAAGTAACAAAGAAACAGAAAAAAAATTGTCATGACATCAGATTTTGCATTTCCTGGATATGAGTAAATTTCTCTCTATTGTTCTTTAGTAAGAATAATCTTAGCCCTCACTACAGTTAGAATACGTTCCATATACTTGTAATGTGTAGCAAATTGGAGCAGATCCGCTCAGAAACGATTTAAAAGTATATAAAAGGATTTGCACTGGAAATAACTACCAAATTAATCAAAATAAACCTTTTTAAGATTGCTTATGCCTTTATCCCAAAAGATAATCCATATAAAGACGAAAATCCAATTAATTTCTCAACGTTTTTCTCTCGCTTCAAATTTACCGGCCATGTTTACATTCGGAACTCTCTAGATTGTTCATAGTAAATGCACTGAGTACGCGTTATCGCCTGTGTTTCTTTTACTACATTACGAATACACGGAACAAATTCTATCATTATAGATGCTTTAAACCGGTAGGACAGTATCATTTTAACGGTTTTTGTTGACCTCTTTTCGTTTTGACATGTATTGTTAATGCATACATATTTGTTTTGTTCAAATCGAACACGTTTATTTGGGCGCGTTTATTTAGGTGACAATCGATTATGAAAAACGTAATCGATAATCGGAATCGAATACCCATAAACGATCGACAATCGATCGTCGGCGACAATTGTTTCATCACTACTTACGACATGCATGACTATTGCATCAGCCATGGGTGCATATGTAACATCATTAAGTTTGTTAAATGCGCAATTCCAATTAAACTTTGGTTTAAAATGAAATGAAAATTAATGATGAATGATTATGAAATAAAAAAGAAGTGAAATGAAATAATTTAAAAAATATACTAGGGATGTCAAATCGGTCGATTTTTAATACTCGGTTACTCGGACGTTTTTCCGATCGAGTACCCGGGTACCCGGTAAAATTGTAAATAAATATGAACAAGTAACTTTGATAACTGTAAAACATTGTAAACTCTTGTAGAAATAAAACCACATGCTCCGATGGGAGATTTATCTGTAAATCCGATGTAATAATTGTGAGCACATCATGCCCGACGAAATTTAATATAACATTTTTTAAAGATCAATTTATTTATCAGATAAACACAAGGAATAAAATCATAAATGGTTCACAGTGGGTTTTTTTTTCAATAATAATCTGCTCCATAATTGTAATGTTACTCTTTGGTTGCGTTTGACTTCCAAGTGATCAGTCGTCAGAGCTACAGTATCGACTTATCAAATTCTTCTATAACAGAGCAGATTTCCAATCTTCGTACATGTTTTCGATCCTTTATTTTATAGCATTACAGGACATTATGTTGTAATTTGATGCAACGATGGACATCAGTTTTTTTTTAAACCTTTGCCTTCAACCATTTGAATTAATTGGCATGTAATCAAACACAACCATATCAACAATGCATTCGCGCGTGTAATATATCATCTGTCTTTTTTCCCGATAATTTACTGCTTCTTAAAGAATTGACAAAATTATTTGATTTAAACACATTAAAACGATGTGCAGTGAAAACAAATTAAAGCAAACAAAAAATAAGGGTAGAAGTCTGTCGAAGGTGAGAAAAACTAGGTAGCAGGTGTTTGGTCACGATAATTAGTGTATAAACACTGACACGGGCGATAACGGTCGTTTAGAGGTGTAGGAAACCCTAATTACTGTATGTATAAATGC